TAGAAAATGTGCTCTGCCTGGAATGTTCCACAGTATGGCATTAGAGCTCACATCAGCTCTCAATTAGAGTGCCAAAACAAAACACTGAAATTATATAAATGTAAAATAGATAACCACATTGCCATACTGCAGAATATTCCAGGCAGATACTAAATACAAAAAAAAAGTCTCATTGACACAGGCAGAAGTGAAGCTTTCCTGAATGTGTTTAGAATGATGTTGAGCTGGATCAGAACAAGTAGAAGAGCACATAGACTATTATCAGTGTTGGGAAGGTTACTTTTAAAACGTATTCCCCTACAGATTACAGATTACAGACCCCAAAATGTAGTTTGTGACGTAATCCATTAAATTACTTAAGGTGAGTAACATAATCTGAATACTTTGGATTACTTGATTTGTTGTAGAGAAGCAAAGATGAGGAAATCTTCACATAAGATGTTTTGTTTGCTAAAAGAAAATGAAAAGGCCACACAGCACGGTTTAGTCCTGTTAAATCCTGTTTTAGACCTGGTTTAGTCCTGGTTTTAGACCTGGTTTTAGTCCTTGTTTAGTCCTGGTTTAGTCCTGGTTTAGTCCTGGTTTGTCCTGGTTTAGTCCTGGTTTAGTCCTGGTTTTGACCTAGTTTAGACCTGGTTTAGTCCTGGTTTAGTCCTGGTTTAGTCCTGATTTAGACCAAGTTTAGACCTGGTTTTAGACCTAGGTTTAGACCTAGTTTAGACCTGGTTTAGACCTGGTTTTAGAAATGGTTTAGTCCTGGTTCAGTCCTGGTTTAGTCCTGATTTTAGTCCTTGTTTTATTCCTGGTTTAGTCCTGGTTTAGTCCTGGTTTAGTCCTGGTTTAGACCTGGTTTTAGACCTGGTTTTGTGTCTGTCAATGAGTGGAATTACCAAGAGAAAAAAAAAAAAAAAGCCCCAAATGTGAAAACAGGAAAATACCGCGATGTAATCCATTTATTTCAACAAAGTAACTGTAATCCAATTACCACTCACTGAAACAGTAACTGTAACTGAATACTCATAATTTGTACTCCGATTACTTAACTCCGGTACATGTAATCTGTTACTCCCCAACACTGACTATTATCCACATATGGATCACCTGGACCACTGAGGATTACACACATATAAAACACATGGGAATATATAAAACAAAGTACTACACTCTATTGCCTAAAGAAAGACTGACTGTTATTATCATTGTGGTATCGGAAATCAGTTTTGGGTATTGAGTCTATTCTTTAGTATCGAAATCAAAATTGTAGTATTAGAACCTTTACTAGAGCTGCACAATGTGACCAATAAGTGATTTTCAAGGCCTGTTTTTAGTGTTGCTATAACGATATTACTGTGATAGTCCAGTGAGGTTCATTTGGTCTTCTGATAATTTATGTTATTAGCAGTGTTACAGATTACATGTACTGGAGTTACATAATCAGAGTACAAATTATGAGTAACTGTATTCGGTTACAGTTACTGTTTCAGTGAGTGGTAATTGGATTATAGTTGCTTGGTTGAAATAAATGGATTACACATCGGTATTTTTCTGTTTTCACATTTTAGGCTATTCCTTTTTTTTTTCGGTAATTCCACTCATTGCCGGACACTAAACCTGGTCTAAACCAGGTCCAAACCAGTCCTAAACCTGGTCTAAACCAGATCTAAAACCAGGTCTAAACTAGGTCTAAACCAGGACTAAAACCAGGTCTAAACCAGGACTAAAACCAGGTCTAAACCAAGTCTAAACCAGGTCTAAAACCAGGTCTAAACTAGGTCTAAACCAAGACTAAACCAGGACTAAACCAGGACTAAACCAGGACTAAACCGGGACTAAAACCAGGTCTAAACCAGGACTAAACCAGGTCTAAACCAGGATTAAACCAAGACTAAACCAGGTCTAAACCAGGTCTAAAACAGGATTTAACAGGACTAAACCATGCTGTGCGGACCGTGTCTCCTCCTCTTCTATCAATAATACTTTAAATATGGTTAAATAACATCTGGGCTTTTCATTTTCTTTTAGCAAACAAAACATGTTATGTGAAGATTTCCTCATCTTTGTTTCTCTACAGCAAACCAAGTAATCCAAAGTATTCAGATTACGTTACTCACTTTAAGTAATTTTATGGATTACGTTACAAACTACATTTTGGGGTATGTAATCTGTAATCTGTAGGGGAATACATTTTAAAAGTAACCTTCCCAACACTTGGTTATTAAGTTCTTTTTTTCAGATCAAGAGTTTGTTTTCATACATGACAGTTTGTTCTGCTCCCTGTGCTCTTCCTCAGAGTGGTCACATGATGTTGCTGTGACGTGTCTGGTCAGCTGATTTATACAGGTTTTGGCGTTGTCTTCCTACCGGTGAAGTCAGGACAACAGCGCCATCTGCAGTCCAACTTCCTCAGGTGTGTGAGAGTAAAAAAGCCCCTCGTCCTGGTTTATAATCCTATGGGCACAGCAACAAAATGTGACCACTCCGGAGGAACGCTAGTGAGCAGTCGACACTTTCAGGTGTGAAAACAAACTTTTAGTCTGAACAAAGAACCTTATAACATAATCTTACCGTGATACGTGTCTAGACTTTCTAAAATTAAGACAAAACTGAACATGCCTTGTTTTACTACTAGTCAAACAGTTTAAAAGTAAAAACCAAGACTAAACCATGACCAGAAAAAACACAACATAATACTAAACTGTACTATTTTTTTTTTCTCAAATTGAAAACTGTTCCTCCTTGAGATGTCATTAAGTGGTAGGCCTAATACTTGAAATGTTCCACTGCATTTTTAAACTCCATGCACCTTCAGTAGAATCATTTAGATCATTTCAGCCCAAGAATGGCCAAACCTTTAATTTAGAGCTACTGTTTTAGTCTAAAACTAAACTTTCTATTGACAATTTAAACTGTACAAAAGATAAAACAAATATATTTTAAAAGCAACCATTTAAGATTATTCTAGAGTTTTGAATAATAGTACGACTGAGGACAAAAAATAGCTGTTAAATTTAAAACTACCATTTCATGACATCACAAGGTGAAACGGTGCATTTTGGGGCTTTGAGGATGTAGATGCAGGATGTGTGAATGAAACAAAACACAACTCCAGGTGTGTTTTTGAAGAGGCAACATCATTATGACAGGGTTTAAAGCTCACACGAGTCTATTTTGTGTATTAACTTTAAGAGTTATTGCAATTCATTCTGTTTCTTGTAATATATTTTAAGCATTAGCCAACAACACAATATCTTCATGCTTGCAATGTATTGTGCAGCCCAAAGAAAACGAACCTGTGAACAACCTCTGCGTCTCCTTCTACCCGGGATTCAATTGATCTACCTTCAAGGTGATTCAAACTGGGATCTGATAGCACGGACAGCAGAGCTCACATCGTTACATAGTCCTCCTCACAGAGCCCAGAAGAAGAGAATCCACAAACGAGACCACAATTTATCAAAAGCCACAAACAAAAACAAAACAAAAAAGCTTCAGAGAAAAATAAGAATGTGTCTAAAATCCATGAACTCCCCGGTTAAGTGCGTAATGCGTAAAAGCGTCAATTACACAAAGGCACTCGGTTAGATCCTTTAAAACTTAACGGTTCTTCAGTGAAATTTTAGCAACACTGCAGTCTCTAAGCCAGAGCACAATCTTAGGACGAGATCAGGTCCGATAAGGCGTCCTTTGTAAAATATACCGTCCCAGGTCGCATCACCGGATCCGTCAGACCGCTGCGCTCTCGTCCCGTGTGCACTGACGGTGACCTGACAGCTGACCATACACTTCTACAGCCTGCTCTATTCACCACAGTCTATGCATCTTACTGAGAGCTTCACGCAGCGGGAGGAGGAGGTGTTCGCTGCACGGAGCGGAGTCACATGGCCCGGCTAACAACTTCCACATCCTCCGCTTCTGCAGTGATCCTCAATGCCGCTAAATGTACAGAGTCAGCTGAGTGGGACAGGCGAGCTCAGAGCTGAGAGCCGTGTACACAAAGACCCGAAATAACCCCCTCCTCTTCTCTCCTGTTGTTTAAAGCCACCATGTCCCACTGCAGTGAACTATTTTCAACATATCTGGACCCGGTCAGGGACAGAAGAGTACATAGATTATGAACAGCATCGTCTTTGGAAAACGCACGGTTTCCCCGCGCGGCGCTGTGTAGGGCCCCAGTCTGAAATACTGCAGTGTGTTTTATTGCTGCTCTCGGCTCCACCGGACAAACTCCGAGTGGGTCAGATGAATGCATAATGTACGTCCTGGCTTAAGTCTGCACCGCGTTGGACAAACAAGTGCCATACAATTCAAGATATAAGACCAAATCCTCTCATTGACACACAAACCTGAACAGATCTTTTCCACAGAATGTGAAATTCTGATTTACAACGAAGCTGTTTTGTTGCAGTCACTGGACACATTATAAAAGTTTGTTTATCTGAATATTATTCCTGATGTATTCAGTGAGATTGGGGAAAGGACCTCGGGCCTCAGGGGAGTGCCAATCTAAAGACGCACCTGCTCACGCAACTCTCCTCAGACTGCGAAGAGGGGGCAGAGGAGGGAGTGTGGACAAAAACATCTCTAACACGAGATAAGCTGGCGACAGAACCAGGCCCGAATCTGGGAGATTTACAAGCGACGCATTGTTCATCTCCAGATGGAGCATGTAAAATAGTTATGGCTGAAGTTTGACGCGGCCTCACTTTGTGCGTAGCCACAGATTCACATTGTAATGTCATTCTGAAACAGGCCAACACCCCGATCAGCTCGCCTGGCTTTTTCAAGGCGCCAGTGGATAAAGCGCAGGTTCGGGCTCATATTCTGTGTTCCGTACCTATGTCCTTCTCCTCCTCTCAGCGGCCCGTGCACGGCAGACAGATCGAGCTAATGATGCTGAGAGGCAGCGCTCTGCGGCACTGGGATGCAGTCAGCCGGCAAAGTGGCACTGCGCTACCGCCGCGACAAAAAGCACAAAGCGTATCAAACAGAGCGGTACTTACTTTCTGTGGCATCAGAAGGACCCGAAAGAGCCGCGGGGAAACTGCAGATGTACAAGAGAGTCCCGCGAAACTGCGGCTGTCGCCATATTGGTGCTGCTCTCTCCTTCCCAGTGCGCGCAGATACACTGCATAATTGATGACTCTCAGCAGATTGTTAGGGAGTGTCGGTAAATGCCTTCAGCCTCCGGAGCGGACAGCGGCCCGGGACCACCGAGTCAACAAAGACACCTCTGGATATTAGACTGTACTTTAAATATTCAATCAATATGTTCAAATACTTACCTTACACTGCTTTAAAGGTTTAGGGTAGATAAAACGGACAGAGTGAACCAACAAAACACTGTGAAATTATACCACTGTACTTAATATTATAAAATGCTACTATTAGACTGGCCAATTGAAAACACTAAATGTATGTTATGTAGGCTGTGTGACTCTTTATATTGTTGCAAAGTTTCAACCTAAAGGACTTGACCCATACTCATTAGATTGGTCTATAAAATGATATATGTGGTACATTGTATTGTTCTGTGCATTTTGTGTCACAGGTTGCCAACGATCAAAGTTTGAATTATTATGAGATAATTGAACATTGGCGGTGGGACTAATGCAGGAGACAATCAAAACGAAGAATGTCTCCATCTTGTGGCTATAAAGTAGATTACAACAATCACCATCACTGTACAGAATCTTCTTCTACAGGTAAAATGGTGAAAATGTACCATAATTAAATGGAGCTTATATGATATAAACATGAAACCCTTGACTTAACATCAGGTGATGGTCTGTTTGTCCAGTGACAGTTCCTTTGGTCTGGGCCTGAAGGCAAAAAAATAAAATACACATGACATGCATAGGAGATGTTTTACACGTTTTAAGATTAGAAATGTCGTTATTATATTCAAATTAAGTGAAAATATAAAAATCACGGAGGGTAGCCCCTCACAGTCAAGGCAACGGCAGAAATGTGTTAATTTAGTTAATAATCCCACATTTTTATTAGCAAATTTTGAGCTCTATTTAAGAATCACACATAGAAGACGGAGTGGGGAAAAGATATGTAAGTTACATTCACTCACCTCTTATTTTACAATGCAACAAATTTATGTTTACCAATTATTATTATTATTTTATTATTTTTTATTTTTTTTGCCCTTTAATCAAAATGTAGATACTTTTAGTCTAAAAAATACAGAGCTGCAACAGGAAATGATCGAGTCTTTGCATGGGCTCTAACAGCTGTTATAAGTAATAAGTATTTAATTCATTTGAACAATCCATACATTTGTTAAATATTTTCTGGCGCTGTTTTGTACATGAAATACAAAGAAAATAATAATAAATAAAATAAAAACGTCATTTGGTTTTTATTTTTGTTTTATTTTGAAGCACGTGAGCCGGATATCCTGTTCTGTTCAGTTTGAACTTGTTCATTTCGGTCACGCTCAGTCGTCAAGTTCACGCTCTCTGCAGATCTCCACGGTTTTCTGCAAAAATGTCAGCTGTAATGAAAATATGCACCTTCGTTGTAAATGTTTTGTGCACGCCGCTCCACGTTATTTACGCATTAGGTTTGTACGAGTTGTACAAACGTTTTTTCCCTATTTGCCTGTACAGAATGACCAAAAATTACAACAAGAGACAACATGACACCAAGAAAGAATTGTTTAGCAGAATCTCCCAGTTCAAGACGCCTGGGAAGCAGCTAACCCTTCTAGAAATCGGATGCGGGACTGGGGCCAATTTTCAGTTTTTTCCTCCTGGATGCAAAGTGATCTGCACGGATCCCAATCCATTTTTTGAGAAATATTTGGCCAGCGCCATGGCGGAAAATGTCCACCTGTCATATGAACGATTCGCAGTGGCATCAGGGGAGGATCTGGGGTTGATCGAGGACGAATCTGTGGACGTGGTGGTCTGCTCTTTGGTCCTCTGCTCCGTCAGGGACACCCCACAGACCCTGAGAGAGGCGCTGCGTGTGCTCAGGCCTGTAAGTACACTTAATGTATTTTTTCACTTTGGTTTTGACAGTGCACTGGGGCAGCTGTCCCCCCTCCAAAATGCCCGTCATTCTATAAATACATCTGAATATGTCATCATTTCAAGTGGAGCGCAGGGATCTATATTAACTTATAGTCACTATGTGGAATTCACTGTTTAAACTCTACAAACATTGAGCCTTATCAGTCATTATTTGTTTGGGACTGGGTCCACTGACTTGCCATTTTAAACATCTCAGAGTCCACTGAAATCTAGCATTTATGATTGATGATGATCTTGATTAATGATTAGGACTTCTTTCAATGAATTACTTACACTTACACTGTGTCATTATTCATTCACTCCATACTTGGTGGTGGTAAGATAGTATTATAGCCACAGCTGACCTGGGGCAGACTGAATGAAGCAAGGCTGCCAATCTGCACTATTGGCCCTTCCGATGACCAATCAGGCTCTGTTAGGTTAAATAAAACAAGACTTATTAGATTTCATCATCATTTATACATTTGTGATGAAATAATGCTACCAAAGTTTGTTTTGTTTTTTTGGTGTTTTTTTTTTTGCTGTTGGAAAAGAGAGTGGAGTTTATGCCAGTTTTTGTTTCATGTGGATAGATCCAGTGATTACAGAGATATTTAACTATGATTTCTACCATACTATTGTGATCTGTCCTGCAGCTAAATGTTAAACTATTGGTTTGGTTACAGTACATTAAATAATGGCTGGATCATTTATATTAAATCTAAATTTAGAATTATTACCAATTATTATTAACTTTAACAAATAACTATAACCCATATTCTAAAGGTCAAACTACAGAACATATCTAATCTCTGTTTGTCTTAAACTATAATAAAGTTGTAGTCCACAAGGAGGAGACAGGCTACAAGCTACTATACACTGAAAATTTGCTGTATCATCATTCTGTCAGTGAATGACTTTCTGAAGTGAGTAGATGTAATTACATGTTAAACACTGAAATTGTTTTACAGATACATATTTTTATCATTTATTTTATTTAAAAAAATGCATACATTAATAAAAAAATAAAACATATTTTTTTAATGCAAATGGTATTAAGTATATAATTATTATTATGAATATGAAATACACAAATTAAATGTTGTATAAATATATTAAATAAAATAAAAACGTCACTTGGGAAATCAAAGTTTTATTTTTGGGTTTTATTTTGAAAAGCACGGGTGCCGGATATCCTGTCAGCGTAAACCTGACGTAGAGTTTAAACTTGTTTACCTCTGTCACGTTCAGTCCGGAGACAGAGACCGACAGGTCAGACAGATAAAGTCCACGATCTTTTCAAAATGGCAGCTGGAATGAAAATATGCACCTTCGTTGTAAATGTTTTGGCCACGCCGCTTCATGTTATTTACGCACTGGGTTTGTTCGGGTTGTACAAACGTCTTTTACCTATTTGCCTGTACAGAATGACCAGAATTTACAACAAGAGACTGCATGACACCAAGAAAGAATTGTTTAGCAGAATCTCCCAGTTCAAGACGCCTGGGAAGCAGTTAACCCTTCTGGAAATAGGATGCGGGACTGGGGCAAATTTTCAGTTTTTCCCTCCTGCATGCAAAGTGATCTGCACGGATCCCAATCCATTTTTTGAGAAATATTTGGCCAGCGCCATGGCGGAAAATGTCCACCTGTCATATGAACGATTCGCAGTGGCATCAGGGGAGGATCTGGGGTTGATCGAGGACGAATCTGTGGACGTGGTGGTCTGCTCTTTGGTCCTCTGCTCCGTCAGGGACACCCCACAGACCCTGAGAGAGGTGTTACGTGTGCTCAGGCCTGTAAGTACACTTAATGTATTTATTCACTTTGGTTTTGACAGTGCACTGGGGCAGCTGTCCCCCCTCCAAAATGTCCATCATTCTATAAATGCATGAAATCTTTGTTGACATGGCAAAAGGAGAAATTCAATTTGTCAACTGGACAAAAGTCTATTTTGTTGAAAAATTGAATGTCTCCTTTTGCCATGGATTCTACCTGGACAACTGAGGGATTTTACACTCATTGTTGACATTGTTTCAAATGGAGAACGGGTCTATCCAACAATTTGATGGGCAGGTCACTGTTTTTAGAAAGAAATTTTCATACTTAACTGTAAGGCTCAATGTCTGTAGGTTAGGTGTGTTTAATTTCTTTCAGTTCAAATGTTTCATTCATTTAGAATAAAATTAATAATGCCTTACAGGCTTTACAGGTTTTACAAGCTTGTTGAAGCTTCTCAACACGCTACACTGTAATTTTTCATTCAGTCCACACTTGGTGATAGTAAACTACTACTGTAGCCACAGCTGCCCTGGGGCAGACTGACGGAAGCGAGGCTGCCAGTCTGTCCCATGAGCCTCTTCGGCCCCTCTGACCACCAGTCTCTCACATGCACGCCACTTTCATATAGGCACTGTGGGGAAAGTGTCTTGGTCAGAACCTGATAAAACTTGGACAATGGTGCAATGTGTTAAATAAAACTAGACTTTGACTGAATATAGATTACAGAATTTCCATAAATACAGGATTTCCGTATTAGATTTCATTCAGCTGACATCAGTTATGCATTTGGGATAAACTAATAGCTTTTTTGCTGTTAAAGAAAGTAGAGTTTATGACAGTTTTTGTTTTATGTTTGAAGATCCAGTGATTACAGAGATATTTAATTATGAATTCTACCAAACTATTGTGATCTGCCTTCCAGCTAAATGTTAAACTATTGATTTGGTTACAGTCCATTACATAACTGCTGAATCATTGATCTGGAATCTTAAGAATTAGTACTAATGACTATTAACAGTAACCCTTAACACTATGACCCATATTCTAAAAGTCAAACTTATCTAATCTGTTTATCCTAAACTATAATAAAATTGTAGTCCACAGGCAGGACACAGGTTACAAGCTACTGTACACTGAAACTTTGCTGACTCATTCTTCTCTGAGTGAATGATTTTCTGAAGTGAGTAGATGAGATTACATGTTAAACAGTGAAATTGTTTTACAGATAAATTAACATTAAGGATGCATTGTGTTCATAACCTTGACAGCATGCACAAGGTTATTATTTATTTTTAAGTATTACATTCAAAATAAATAAATAACATAAGAAAAAAGAGAAGTTGGGCTCCACCTTTGTCTTTTCATCGCAAACAGTAGCCAACATAAGTAAAGTGACTGTACATGAGTGAAATGACTGTTAAGTAAAGAGCTATGCTGCACACGTACGACCTGCACTCGTATGACCTGCACTCGTATGACCTGCACACTTATGATGTCTGAAAAGTTTGACATGAACCATCTCCAATGCGATATACACACAGAACAGACTCAGCATCAGCAGCACATCCTCTGTCACAGAGAGAACACTCATATTCCACTGAGTTGTGTCCTTTAGTCTCCTTTAGTCCTTTAGTTGTGTCCTTTAGTTGTGTCCTTTAGTTGTGTCCTTTAGAAGCTGAACCGCATCAGGACGCAAGGAGAGAGCCGTTTTTAAGTATCAGTATCGGCAAGTACAGAATATAAATTATATGTATAAATGATATAAATAAATGATTATACTTGTACTTGTATCAGTTTTCAAAAAGGTGGTATCAGTGCATCCCTAGTGCTGCCAGGATCCTGATGAGGCCCAAAACTCAATGCATCATCTCCAGAGCACCTGTACCTGTACCCGTGTGCCTAAAACAAGTGCTGACTCCCCACGAGACCTGTCATGTTTAACACTATACCCACTTATCATTCGATATATGATAGATGGAACAATCATTTTTGAGGTCAATATTTATTGTGGGCACTTTTTAACTGTGGGTGGGTTATGTGTCTTTTATATGATGAGATTTTGGCTGTAGATGGTTGATTTATGAACTCCGATTCATTATAGTTACAAACGAACCGCTCCGTTTTTTAACACAGTCAGAGCAAAGGTCTGTCTCGATCTTCAAGAAGATTGTTGCAGGTTTTAGATTCATAAAACTGAAACGCTGACTCCCCATGTTTAGTTCTGATGTTGTCCTTGATTAGTCCTGGTTTGGTCTATGTTTAGTCTTGACTCTGGGCACCAGCAGGAGGCACTTGAGTACAGATGGTTCATGTGGCACTAACATGTAAGAGATGTACTTTGGTGCTAGGCCATGGAGAGACTTTTGAAACAACAGCTGCTTTATGTCTATTCTCTGAGCCACAGGAGCCAGTGCAGAGACCTGAGACTAGGACGCATGCTCGGACATCCTATTTCAGAATCAGTATTGAGAATCAAGTCTATTCTTTAATATCAAAATGAAGTTTGAAATGTTAGTATCATGACAACCCTAATCTGAAGTCCTTCTGATAGAGAACATGTGTATTTTTCAGGGTGGGGCGTTCTTCTTCCTGGAGCATGTGGTTTCAGACAAAGAGAGCTCCTGGACATACTTCTGCCAGCACGTTTTGCAGCCATTTTGGTTCTACTTTGGCGATGGCTGTGAGATGACCCGGGCCACGTGGAAACCGCTCCAGAACGCCGGCTTCTCCGAGCTCAACCTGGAACACATTCAAGCTCCGTTAATGTTTCTCATCAAGCCTCACATCAGAGGCTACGCTGTGAAATAGATTAGAACAGATAGAATTTCAGATCACAATGCAACATCTATTCATGAGTAAATAAAGGTTCACTGTGTAACTTTTCTGGTGGAGGGTCTGGCACCAGAGTAGGGCTCGGTGATATGCTGCCATTTAAGAAATTGTAAACCGCTTGAAATCACTTTTTTATAGAGATCTACGGAAGCCGAGAGGGGTCACAACAAACGCACACGCCGCAACAAATACAAATGCGACAACCCAACAAAAAGCCACAACAACCCAAAAAAAGCCACAACGGAAATGACAGTGGGACTTTGTTTTAATGCAAACGCCGCAACAAATACAAACGCCACAACACAAACGCAAATGCCGCAACACATTAAAAAGCCACAACACATCAAAAAGCCACAACAGAAGTGACCGTGGGACTCTATTTTCCGACCGATGAAGCGGCAAGTGAAGAAGAAGAACTACAACGTGAAACGAATAATGATAAAACAATAAATTACTTTTACTTACTTTTCCAACTTCTCTGTTCCTTTACTTTTCACGTTGTAGTTCTTCTTCTTCACTTGCCACTTGATCGGTCAGTCGGAAAATAGAGTCCCTTGGTCATTTCCGTTGTGGCTTTTTTTTGGTTTGTTTTGGCTTTTTGTTGTGTTGTCACATTTGTGTTTGTTGCGGCGTTTGTTGTGACCCCTCTCTGCTTCCATAGACATCTAATGTAAACGCACAATAATCTGGGTCACCTCTGCACAGATCTGACCTGTAACTTGGTTTGGTCTCCATAAAGATAGGAAGGTTTAATGCCATACTGTGAAACATTCCAGACAAAGCAATAACCTGTCCATGGAGAAAAGCGTTTGAAGGGCCCTCCACCAGAAAAGTTACACAATATTCTTTTAAGTTTAATAAATGCCAACCTAAAAGTACCAAGGAATAGGCCTCTCTTCCCAAATGAGCAATATCTAACACGTTTAATATAATGAGCTTGCTTCACTGGTGTGGTTGAATTCACTATACCATGCACAAATATTTGCTTGCACTATTAAGAGAATAGATTACGAATATAGTGATATTTCTTTTATTTTGTATCAAAGCGTATTTTTGTATAAAATAATCGACATGGGCCAGCGCTAAATCTATTTAACACTTTGCATCCTGTGTTATCTGTTAGGGACGGGACAAGAACTCGTCCCACAAGATCGTGCCTACAAGAGAAAAAAGATCTCGTGAGATTGTTTCCCCTTGAATTTACTTTTGGCTTGGACAGAAAAGAGTTAAGAGCTGGTGAGTTACACAATTTGAGAAGCTGTAGTTTCAAAAATCAGCACTCCAATGATCTCTGAAGTATTAAAGTAAAGTAAAGTAAATGAAACCAACTTTGTGAACTGGACTGCACTACTGTTTTATTATAAATTATGTCAAAATTTCATCGACTCATCTCGTGAAAATTGTGTGTCATCTCATTTCTGTTATCTGTATTCTGCAAAGCCACTTCTCAATATTTCTAATGCTTGTTTGTGACAATGTTATAACTGATTTTCAGTCTGATTTTGGTGAGATTTAATTAAAAGGTATAATGCCCAGTGGTTTTGCATAAGTTGTTTTAATTTATAATTTTTCTCCTTGTGATAAAGGTGCAATTGTGTAAGTTTTCTGGTGGAGTGTCCATCTTTCCTTTCTCCATGGAGATGTTATTGCTTTGTCTGGAATGTTTCACAATATGGCATTAAACCTTTCTATCTTCACAAAAACCAAACCAGACCAAGTTACAGGTCAGATCTACGGAGAGGCGACCCCGCTCACAGTCAGATTGTCAGTTTTTCTAGGTATTTTTGAGCTATAAAACCACCTGTAATTGAATAAATGTAAAGCAGATCTGTTTAATGTCACACTGTGGAACATTCCAGACAGAGCAATGCTATCTCCATAGAAACAAGCAGATGATGGACACTCCACTAGAAAGTACCTTTAAGGCTTGTTTTATTGAAATTACTGTGTAAACAATGTGAACAAAAATTAAAAACTACCCAAGATAATCCTGTATCCATGACAACAAGAATACTCTTCAGATTCATAAAGGATTTTACTTTAAGCAGCAAAACCAACTAATCGTCAAAGAAATCTCTCAAGTTAAAGTAAAAATATAGGCAACTATTAAAGTAAAATAATTGAGTGTGAAATTCTATGAACGTAACATCTGATTTATGATTTAAATTTATGTCATTTAAAGCAAAATAATGCAAAAACGAAAATGACAAAAATTAAATAATATAGGAGGAGGATATCTTAACATAAGATATTTTGTCTGCTAAAAGAAAATAAAAAGCCCAGACTTTACTGAACCAAATTTAAAAAAAATGATAGAAGTGGAGAAGACATGTCCATACAGCATATATTTAGTCCCGTTAAATCCTGTTTTAGTCCTGGTTTTAGACCTGTTTTAGACCTGGTTTTAGACCTAGTTTAGACCTGGTTTAGATCTAGTTTAGACCTGGATTTAGTCCAGGTTTAGATCTAGTTTAGACCTGGTTTAGTTTCCAGCAATGAGTGGAATTACAGGGGGATATAGCCCAAATTGTGAAAACAGGAAAATACCGACGTGTAATCCATGTATTTCAACCAAGTAAATGTAATCTATTTACCACTCACTTAAACAGCAACTGTAACTGAATACAGTCACTCATAATTTGTACTCTGATTACGTAACTCCGGTACATGTAATGCGTTACTCCCCAACACTGCCTAGTTCCCCGAGACAGTCCCAGTTTTGAGCTTTGTGTCCCCTGTCCCAGCAGATTTATCCAAAACCACTGATTTGGTCCAATTTTATACAAGAAATGTCCCAGGTGTCCCTATTTTTGACAAATCTGATCCCTGACAACAGTACAGAAAGGCATACATTGACTTTTGTTTAGGTAATATACAGAAAAGCTGCTTAAAAATGACCAAAACACAAAGAAAATGTGACTAAACTGACTCACATTAGTGCTGAACGCAGAAGAGTTTTTCTTATTTACGCACTCGTTTCACAATTGTATTATTATCAACCAACACAAACCAGGGATGTTCCTTTTTTTATTTTGAAAAGCTGGTCACCACCACTTCAAAATAGTTTTAAATGTGCAAAAGTACTTCAAAACAGGAAGTAAGTAAAGTAAATAATATGAAATTGACTCTGATCCATCTGTAAGAAGACGATTCAAATCTAACGGCTTTCCATTATTTGAAGAACAATGAAGGAGCGCCATCTTGTGGAATCAAATCCGCATTAAAGTGGATTAGCTAATTATACGAACTCCGTAATCTTCTTTAATCCACTAAATGACCACTGTCCACAAAGCTCTGAATTAGCCGGAGTGGCCTCTTAAGTCTATTTTAAAATTACTGCTATGGAAACAACAGGGCTGAGCGGGGCGTACAGGAGACTTTTCGCGTTGCTTTCTTACAACAGCACGTTTATTTACAATGAAAAAATGCACGAATTCAAGAGGGAACTTTTCAGGAATTTGCCCAGGTTTAGGAGCGACGATGGGACACTTCGGTTGCTGGAGATTGGATGTGGAAGCGGGGCAAATTTCCAGTACTACCCACACGGATGCACGGTGATCTGCAGCGACCCGAACGCGCACTTTGACCAATATTTACGCAGGAACATGGAGGAGAATCAGCACTTGTGTTACGAGGGGTTCCTGGTGGAGTCCGGAGAGAGGCTGGAGCACGTGGAGGATGCGTCAGTGGACGTGGTGGTGTGTACGCTCGTGTTGTGCTCCGTGCGTAACGTGCGTAAAGTGCTCCAGGAGGTGCGCCGAGTGCTCAAATCTGTAAGTGTTTAAATGTTGCGTTTACTTTAAAGGTGATTTGTGGAACTTTTCCGGTGGAGGGTCAGCCAAATGTTTTTCTCCATGGAGATGTTATTGCTTTGTCCGGAGTGTTTCATAGTATGGTATTAAACCTTTTGTACACAGCAAAAAGTTTAGGGTTAAAATTTCAGGGTAAAATATGTAAGTTGTTTTTTAACACAAAAGAAGTGTTATTTTAACATTGGAAGTTAGATGTGTGTTGGAGTTGGGGTTTTTTTGAGTTGATATGGTTGAAGTTAATGCAACTTCCTCTAGTGTTCATTCAACTTCCCTTAGTGTTAATTTGGCCTGCGAGAGAAGATTTTAATTTCATCTTAAATGAACAAAAATAAAGTGTAAAAATAAAAAAACCTCTGTGTGTCGTTTAGCTAAATCAAGTGTTAACTGTTTACTCTTAAAACATTAACATAAATCTTGATTTCGGGTTAAACAGGAATGTCGGTCCAGTGTTACTTCATTAACATTTACAAACATGTTAAATTAACTCTAGAACAGATTGGACTCTTACAAACCCTGAAAAAATGTTCAGATTCAATCTGTCAATTTTAACACTTACACATTTTTTGCTGTGTATCTTCATGGAGACCAAATGAGAGCAAGTTACAGGTCAGGTCTGTGGAGAAGCGACCTCGCTCACAGTCAGAATGTGTGTTTTTCTAGGTATTTTTGAGATATAAAACCATCTGTAATTGAATAAATGTAATGTAGAGCTGTTTAATGTCACACTGTGGAACATTCCAGGGACAGAAGTGACATATCCATAGAAACAAGAAGGTGACGGACTCCCAAGGGTGAAGAGGATGATGAGAGGATGAGGAGCTCAGGGGCACGGCACAAACCAAAGAGGCTGTATCTATTAACAGAGAGAAAAGCAGATCAGAAAAGTCAATTATAAAAGTACTGCAATGTCAGTGGTGGAACATAATGATGTACTGGACTTAAAGGAGCATTGAGTAACTTTTCTGGAGGAGGGTCCCTATTTGTCATATGCTTTTCCCTATAGCGATGTTATTGCTTTGTCTGGAAAGTTTCACAGTACCGGTATTAACAGGCTCCCACAGCTCGATTTTAACAGGAGAGATACAGGACTACATTCATACTATGATACTCCCTACAACTGTACAACAACTCATCCTTATGTAACAGATAATACTCCCTACAACTGTACAACAACTCATCCTTATGTAACAGATAATACTCCCTACAACTGTACAAAACTCACCCGTATGTAACAGATAATACTCCCTACAACTGTACAACAAATCACACTTATGTAACAGATAATACTCCCTACAACTGTACAACTCACCCTTATGTAACAGATAATACTCCCTACAACTGTACAACTGTACCCGTTATGTAACAGATAATACTCCCTACAACTGTACAACAACGTACCGTTATGTAACAGATAATACTCCCTACAACTGTACAACAACTCACCCTTATGTAACAGATAATACTCCCTACAACTGTACAACAACTCACCCTTATGTAACAGATAATACTCCCTACAACTGTACAACAACATACCCTGATCTAACAGATAATACTCCCTACAGCTGTACAACAACTCACCCTGATGTAACAGATAATACTCCCTACAACTGTACAACAACTCACCACTATGTAACAGATAATACTCCCTACAACTGTACAACAACTCACCACTATGTAACAGATAATACTCCCTACAACTGTGTGAGCTACTGTGTCCAGATAAAGTTTGTCCAAGTCAAAGTAAAACCTTTCTTTCTTCATGGAGACCAAATCAGCACAAGTTACAGGTCAGATCTGCGGAAAGGCGACCCTGCTCATGGTCAGAGTGCCTGTTTTTCTAGTTTGTTTTTTTTAAGCCATAAAAGCACCAACCTGTAATTGAATAAATGCGGTTTAGTGTCATACTGTGGAACATTCCAGACGAAGCATGACATCTCGGTAGAAACAATGTGATTACTTTTACTTTACTACTTTTTTGCTCCGGTATTTGTACTTTTACTAATAGCAAAAGTGAGTAGGCCGACTTCTTCCACCACTTTACAGTGTTTTGTGTAAATGTCAGAATCCTTTCACCTCTTTTAGGGCGGGGCCTTCTTCTTCCTGGAGCACGTGGTCTCCGAGCGCTCTTCCTGGTTGTGTTTCGTGCAGTTTGCGCTGGATCCCCTGTGGTTGCGTCTCGGAGAAGGATGCACTCTGACCCGAGCCACGTGGAGAGACCTGGAGGCAGCTGGCTTCTCCCACCTCCACATCCAGCACATCAGCGCCCCCAAAGTGTCAGCAGTCATAACACCACACATCATGGGATACTGTGTCAAATAAAAGCTTCTGCATGTTAATACTTTACATTCACATCATACTTGAAAGCACTGCATGGTTGTCTATGGAGGAATGTTCAGCAGTTACCATGGGGACACGATGCAAATACAGCCAAAATGTTTTTTAGATTGTCTGAAAACTCAGAATGGATTTAAACACATTTTAAGAACTGTTCTAGTTGTTCATGGTTTAGGAGATTTTCTGAAAGCTGCAATTGTTCCCCTGCCACCAATTGGGACCTGACTGGTTTAAATTGTCAGTTGCTATGGAAATGGTTCAAATTTTTCATCCTTCTGAAACTGATGGGACAGAGGTGGGACCAAGTCGTTGTTTGCAAGTGTCAAGTAAGTCTCAAGTCTTTGACCTCAAGTCCGAGTCAAGTCCCAAGTCAATACAGGCAAGTCTAAGCCGAGTCTCGAGTCACTGGCCCATAAGTCCAAGTCAAGTCCAAGTCATTTCAAGTCTTTAAACCAAAATACCAAATATATGTTAAAATTTTGCAATTTATATGAATTTTAAACTAAATTGTTCTTAAAAAGTCATGGTATATTTTTATATGAGTTGTAGAAATGCTTTTTTCTTTTTAAATGTCTTGACAAGATTTTAGTGTGAATCATTAAAGTCCCAAGTCTGAGTTCCAAGTACAAGTCAAGTCCCAAGTCTTTGTCTGTTTTATCAAGTCAAGTGTCAAGTCCTAAAAATAGTGCCTCAAGTCCGACTTGAGTTCAAGTCACGACTTGCAAGTCCCCACCTCTGCTGATGGATACAGTTTGTTTTGTTTGCCTTTTACTGCTGATTGATATGAGTCATGTGACAATGGACAGACAAAGTTTAAAAGTTTCAAATTAGTTGCCAGGCAGGTCAGAATATATATATCTAAATCTATATCTCTATCTCTCTACTGTATCTATTTATCCCTATCTCTATCTATTTCTACTGTCTCTCTCTATATACCTCTGTCTACTGTATCTATTTCTCTATATCTATTTTCAAGCAATGCCTAAACATCCATAAATTCAAGTTGTTCTATAAACATTTGGTCTGGTCACAGTATGTAGAGAGTAGGTCGTATTATTTGAACAATCCTGCCTTCTGTAGTGCTTCTTTATGCTTGTTGTTTCCTGTTTCTTGTATCTGTTGTCTGTTTCCATTGTTGGTATGTTTATGTATTATTACAACATGATGAAGTTGGTTATTTGCTCATTGTCCACATTTGTATGTAAGTAAATATAGCTTCATGTATAATGTCTGAAAAATGCAAAGGAAAGCTCATGATAAATTAGAAGAGGGGGGTGGGATTAAATAAGTTTTCTTTTTTCCACTCTTTTTTTTTTCTATTATTTCACCAATGTTACATGTTCCATTGTATTGTACTTACTTGCCCAAAATAAATGCATAAATAATACAAATCTATCCTCTCTATCTATCCATCTATATATCTGTCTATCTCAGGAGTCTCCAACCAGTATCTCTCCATCCCCTTTCAAGTAGCTCGCCAAGGGATTCCTGAATTACATGTATTGTCTTGAATAACTCGAATTTGATGAATTAAAAGCCTATAATTATTGTAAATCTATGATTTTGATGCCTGACATTGTGCACTCATAAATAATGGTTTATGTGCTATGTTTTATCTAACTGTACCCCATCTAAGTCTTGGCATGGTTCTTATGTGTACTTTATTTTGTGCAACTGTTAAAATTAGTAGCTCTCTGGAATTTTCTTTTTGTAAAGGTTGTATCTATGTATCTCTCCCTCTCATTACTGTATCCATCCCTCTATCTTCATCTCCTGGTTGATGATAATATTTGGGCCAAGTGAAACAGAGTAGCTGAGGGACTGGTGCTCTCGTCTCAAAGCTTTGACTCCTGCCTTTGTCTGTGGAGTCTGTGTGGAGTTTGCATGTTCTCCCTGTGTCTGAGTGGGATTCCCTCATTAACACTAAACCTGTACTAAAAAAAGCCAAATCCTCCTGCAAAGTCAGTCCCGACCAAGACCAGAACGTGTACCTGAAGTTCTGAACCTAAGAGTAAAAGTGCGCGAAAACATTCAAAACACACATTTAAGTAAAGTGAAAATAGATTTATTTTGTTACACAATCATGAATTTCATAAACTGCTTGTTCTTTTTTTTCACCTAATAAATATTACCTGGACAATGTGCTTTTCCCTGATTGTCGAAGTAACTGGCAAAAAACAACCAAACCCAAACATGAAACGTCCGTTCTATCGTCCATTGCACTGCACTAAGGAATGACACATCTGTAACACCTCCTTTATGGGAAACATAAGAATTGGTTCACAAAAAATAAAACTGAAAACATAATGTGAAATAGTTCATACAGTTAAAAATCTGAAGAGGTTAGAAAGAAAAAAAAAATATATCAGCAATTTTAAAAACACAAAAATAAACAAAGGGATACATTTAGAAAGTGAGAGTAAAGCTCACGGTTTCAAACTTCCCAGTATTAAAATGTACACAACTATAAATGTTATAGCGATTAAAAACAGCAGGTGGAAACAAGAACAAGTGCAAACCAGTTCTAAAAAAATTTGTTTTCCATGTTTTCTTTTAATAAAACTTTTTTTAAACGTTCTATAAAATACTCAAAATTGACCTTTGCATTAGAAGATTGTTCATTTACCAAAACACGTGGAGTTGTGCATTTTGTTTCATTTACACATGTTTGAGTAACCCTTTATTAAGAGTCTGTCTGCATTTTTAAAGCTCAAAATGCTCTGTTCCACCTTGTGATGTCATGTAGTGGTAGTTTAAGTATACTGCTTGTGCCATTTGTTCAGTAGAGACTTTGAAATCCAGGTCTGAAATGAAGTTTAAAAACACACACAGTGAAGCACTTCCTGTGACATCACAAGGTGGAACAGAGTGTTTTCTGTCTGAGAGGAGAACTCAGTGTAAATGTGCAGTTTTTTTGTGTGTTAAACATGTGTGAATGAAACAAAACACAAGTTCAGGGGCCTCATTTATAAAAAACTGTGCAGGAGTTGTCGTAAGTTAGTGCGTATACCTAGTAGCTACGACAGGCGTGCGCCACGCAAACTCCATATTTAGAAAACCCACCGCACACACCAAACCACGCAATCTTTGCTTTATAAATCCCACCTGCAACTAGAATTTGCACACGTAAACCCACGCCACGCCCTCTCCACACCTCCACCTCACCATAAAAGGAGCATGTAAAGTGACTCGTGAATGAGATTTCCCTAAACATGAGCCGATAATCAGTAGGTTTGACCGAGACACGCGGGACAGAGGAAGGAGGACGCTCCACGCAGCACCACGTGATCACGACAAAGACTTGATTTAAAGACTTTATTAAACAAGGTTTAATAAATAAATACAAAACTAAAAGTGACAACAATGACTCATCTGTTCATTTAATCATTTTTTATAATATTTAGGCAGCACATCTTTGCAGTAAAGCCCATGTGTTTTTTCGCTGTTTCAAGAGTTGTATCGCTATATTTTTAAGTCTGTCTATGATGTGTGTGAGGACTGGCCCTGTATATTTAATGTATATATATGCATATACACGTAGATACGTGCACGCACTGATCTGAATGGTCAAATTATGAGCACGTGCGAGAGATTCAGATGCCCTCCTCTGGAGAGGGAAAGGAGCAAGGGAGGGATACAAGGATACGAGGACACAGATTTAACACGAAACACATCAGATACAGATGTTATTCTGCCAATTAAAGTCCACACGAAATATCCAAACTGCTCCCTGTGAGTGTGGCTCTGGGTCGGGACGGGCACGGGCATTATTCTGTTCTTCATACAGTCAGAAAGCAGCTCTCATGTGCAAGAGTTCCCCATTACACAAAAATGTAGGAAAGATTTTGGTTCGGGTCAGGTTCGGGCAGTAGGCTTCGTGTTGTCCGCAACACTGTCGGGTCACTCTGCCGCTCGGTGCGTAAAGACTAAAGTAAAAGTGTTAAAGTTGCGTTCATTAAATCAAAGCCTGGCTCCTGCTGCGTCCAAGGGAAGAGTTTTCTCTCAGGTCGGGTCATTATTTCGTCCTCTGTGTTGGTCACAGACTGTGTTCTATAGAAGTCTATGGTCGCGGTGTGGACTGTGGGAGACTCTGCACCGAGTCCGGGAACGTGGCCGCACTTGTGCACGAGTGTCAAATGTATAATATTGTGGAGAATAATGAGTGGAATAAACAGCCCTTCTCCTTGTTTTGGCGAACCAAACATTTAAATGCGCAAATCTGAAGGTAATTCTTCTATATACGTGGATTTTCTGATCAAACACTTCCTCAAACTCTGTTCACTTCTGCTTCTCTCCACGAGTGTCGCTTTTTCCCCGTGTCTCCAGACTTTGCGTAGAACTTACAGGAGGTCCCGAGTTGGCGTAGAGTTAAGCAAAGAGCCACGCCTTAGGCGAGTTTTATAAATACCGTGGTTGGAGTAGGAAGCGCGCACGCACGGATTTTTGCGTAAGCAAGCTTTATAAATGAGGCCCCAGGTCTGTTTGTGATGAGGAAACGAGATTAGAACATAGATTAGAAAACAGTGTGACATGGGCCCTTTAAAGGACGCACGATCTGATACTGGTATCTGATATCAGAGTCGATACTGAAAAAAATAGCTGTGGATTTGATATTGGCTTACAAATATCGGTTCAGTCGATATCCTGAATGGACACACAATATAAATGTATGTAATAAGACTATTTAATGGTTGTAATTGGCCCTGAAAGTGTCACATAGTTTGAACTTTTAATTTACGCACATTTATTTTGTAGTTACTTGAGGAATAAAGAACAGCTTCAGATCACATTTGGATGATTTGGATTTTGTCTTATTTTTTTTATTTTTTATTTCATCCATGGACTTCAGCTGATGCAGATATTTAATGCCTTAATTTTGAAATCTGCATCTGAACTAAAAAAGTCATCATTAATTTTAAAAAAATCATTTTTAATTATTTCAACATGTCATTTAAAGTTGCACTGTGTAACTGTTCCAATCATGAATATGCAGCCTATTTGTCTTAAAATGAAGATGTTATTGCTTTCCCTTTAATGTTCCAGCTAGTATTTGGTTTATTACAGGTGTTTTTTTATTGCTCAAAACTACCCTCAAAAACATCCATTCTCATTTCTCATTTTGCTTGGGCTTGTCTCTCCACAAACCTGACCTGTAACTTGGCCTGAAGACAAGCAGGTGGCGCACTCTCCAACAGAAAGTTACACAATCCAAGCCAACATGATTTAAAGAATGTTTTTAGTGAGACAGCAGAACAATTCCAAACATTTTTCTAAACATTGTTCTACCTTTGGTCACACGTCTTAAGAATAGGGTTCCACAAATAACTGCAGTAAAAATTTTAATTGAATTGAATATTTGATTTATATATTATATTTGACAAGTTTTAATGGGGAAACATGTTCTGAAATGTCATTCTTGTATTGCTTTATCAGTTCAGATTTCAGTCTTCTCTCAAATATTAATGCTTTTGGATACTTGAGAACTGAACTGAACATTGTGAAGTGAATCCTGATTTGAAAACATGCATCTAAAATGTCACTGTGATTGCAAAAAAAAAAAAAAAAAAAAAAAAAAAAGAATCATGACTAGTGCCCGAAATGGCGTCCAGAAATGTTTTTTCTTTTTGCACCAGGTTCAAACTGGATTTAAACAAGTTTTGTGCTCTCAAATTAAAATACTGCTGGATACACCAACTCTACTCTACTTTAAAAAGGACACTGAACTGAATCCTGATCTGAAATCATGACTAAAATTTCAACGCAATTACAAAAATAATGAATCCAAAATTATGTCTGTTAATTGTGCTTTATGCTGTGCTCCAACTGGATTTTAACTGTAAGTAGAGTAGAGAGTATAAAGGAAGCGTTATAATTTGAGTTTACAAAACCAAAGGACACTGAACTGAATCCTGATTTCACATCACAATTAGTCTCCAAAATGGCGTCTGTTGTTTATGCTTTACACTACGTCCCAACTTGATGTGAACTGGTTTTGCACTTGTTTTGTTGAGAATATCAGACTGCCATCACATGACGTTACACGAATATAAAACTGAAGAATCGCACCTGAAATAAAGTGTTCCCACAAACCTGCCCGAGAGTCCGCCGACTGAGCTGCTGTTTTGATTTCAACCCTTTGCGATTATCCAGTTTTCACACAATACAGGTCCTTTAAAGTTTTCAGTTCCTCTATGAGCGTCTTGTTTTGGTTTTCCAGAACAGCCACACGGTTTTCCAAACATTTCACATATTCCTTTTTCTTCCTTCGACATTCACGAGCTGCCTCCCTGAAAAAAAAGATGGAAGAAATGGGAAAGGTTAATATTTTCTTTCAAAATCTGTATTGATGTAACACAGACCTATTATGCAAACTTGACTTTTCAGAGATTTCAATCATGTTATAGTTGCTTCCCTTATTTACCCACTCAAAGTTTTATTTAAAGTGATTCAGCTCCACCAGTGCACGCCTACTGTGACATACGCACTTCATTGTCCAATTACATTTTCTTAATCTGTGATCCATGTAGGATTTGGGAAAACAAGAAATATCCATCCTCCAGGCTGTCTTAGCTGTGATTGAGCAGTGAGTTAGCCGTCTTGTCTTCACCTGAGCTGCCCCTCTCCCCTCCCCTCACCTCGTCTGACCCTCTGATCCTGCTTTACTCAAAGTCTAAAGGGTTTTTCATGAGCTCATCACAACAGCATGGCTCACTGCCCACTCTCTGCAGACAAATCCATTTAATGTACAGGAGAGCAAGGAGGACAGGCCAAAGAGAGATGGAGGTTATTAATAAAGGATAAAAACGACACAAGAAGTCTGGGGATTATTATAAACTATTACAATTACAAGATACAGTAATAGTAATTCATATTGTGTTTAAGTTTGTTCTATGTTGTTAGGTAGAGCATGTACCCAGCACCTGCAGATAGAGGACACACAAATGTTTCTCTCTCTCTCATTCTCAGTATATGGACAGGTCATGAGGCAGGTCACGGAGCTGCAGAGGCTGCACTAGCACAGACTCATTATCAGGGTAAGTTTTGGGTTTAGGTAGAGACCATTCAGCTCACAAAGACCTTTAAAGTTGATGTGTTACTGGTTTTAGTGCTATGATCTGGTATGAGGCTAACCCTGCTTTCTATAATAATCAGCTTGAGAAAAAAAACATAAAACATTGTTTTCATTTGATAACAAAGACTAACTCAATATTTCAGTTGTTATCAGTAAATGCTGTCAAGTTTAAACCCTGCATGTGTATATGTTTTAAGTCTTACCTGTTCTTGGCGAGCCTGATCTCCCTCTTTAATGTGGGGTCATCGGTCTTGGTTTGGGACAGTCCCACAGGACTGGTCATGACAACGGTCTGCTGCAGAGAGCTGGAGGAGGGCGTGGTCCTGATCTGATACGTCTGCATCTCGCCTCCGGCTCCTGGACGGAAAAGAGGAGAGTCACACCAAGAACAAACTGAGAACATTATGCTTTTGAGCATCTTAATATTTCACTGTGATGAGTTTATAAGCACTTTCACAACAGCTTTACCATCACAGCAATACTGCCCTAACTACAACTAGCACACTATCAGTGCACTTTCTGATTATTGCACAATTAAATTTTGCTTTCGAATTAGATGCAGACAGAGCGCAGCAGACTTATTTTGACCTGAAGAGCAGATTATACAATATATCTGCACTGGGGCAAGACACATTTTGCTCAAATCTACGTGAAGTTCCAGGAGGAGAGACCTTTCCAGTGGATGTGGTGTGTGTCAGGCCTTTACATGACATTACACTGCTAACATGATCTCACCTTGCACCACCACCTGGTTACTGGGCACGAGTATCTGCTGCCCGTCTGGGGTCTGGGCGTACTGCAGGATGGTGGTGCCCGACTGAGCCCCTCCCGCACTGGACATGGTCAGAGCCTGCACCCCCTGGAGCCCATCGGAGCCCGGAGACGCCAACTGGATCGTCCCATTGGCTCCTATAGTAACTGTGGGCACAAAGAGTGTGTGTATGAACAGAACTGAAATATAAACATTGACAATTCGGTTGAGTTTTCACATTTCAGATCACACTATTACACTGTATTCCTGTTTAATGTCAATGTTTGGAAGTATGGTTTTACCTTACTGTTAAAAGTACCTTTACATTATGCTTTTACGCATAGCATTTTTACAATCAAATAATACAAACACTGACAATAATCAAAATATTGACATATAAAAACAATTACCATTAAAATGATCAAGAGACTTTTTGAACATGTGATGTCACACTTCATAACTTGATATCTTTCCTCTAGAAATGAATTTCAGTCATAAATGATCACTGTCATTTAACTGTTACCATTCTAGGTCTGAAAACAGTCTGGCTGAAATCTATTTTACTGTAAAAATAAGTGCAGGAGTGTATTTGTGCTGTTGGTGGTCTACAGTTGGGACATACTGTACTGCCCGGTACTGGTCTGGTAGATGGGGGTGGAGGGGACTGCGACTCCAGTGACGCCTGTGGACACTGCACTGATCTCTGCTCCCGTCTCAGAGGACAGCTCATTCAGGATTTTTCTGGAAAAGACAAAAACATTTGGTCATTTGGCTTATTGAATGTTGTGGACAGATGCAGAAACAGACAAACACAGGCACAGTCTCAGTATCAGCGTAGACATTCCAGTGATGTTTGTTATAGTGACAGGAGGACATCTTTTGGACACGGTCTACAGCACTGTCAGTCCTACATATGTTCTTCCTCTCCCATCTACTCGTCTCCATGAGAACATCTGGAATGTTCCGCAGCATGGCATTAAACTCATCTCCATGGAGACTAACATGACCAGTTTGGTGAAGAATGCATTTTTTTCAAGGTAATGTATTTGTAATAAACATGGAATAACTGCAATATCCAAAAGTTAATAATAATGCTTACTGTGAAACATTTCAGGCGAAATAAGCCAAATCTCTACAGAAACATACGGATGCACAGTCTCCAATTGAAAAATTACACAGAAAGAAGAAATTCAATTACCGTATTTTCCGCACTCGCTCTGGATTATAAGACACACTGTCATTAAATGGTCTATTTTCCAACATTTTTCACAAATAAACCGCACTGGACTTTAAAAGAAACACAACAGTTGGATGGGTCAGTGGTTTTGTTTGTTTGGCACATTCACGGTGACTCTGGGCTTTGTTCAGTTGTGGCGTGTAGGGGAGGGTGCTGTCTGGGACCGCTGGATTGTTGGCGTGTTCGCAGTGACTCAGTTGTTCAGTTTTGTCTAGAAGTGGCACATTGCACTCGCTTTATCTGTTCGTTCCTCTGTTCCGTTCCTCGTCAGCGTGGAGTGATGAGTGTGTCTGTGGGTGTTTTTGGCTGTGTGGTCGCTGTCTGCTCCGTGTGTGTTTACGTGCACTGCGGGTGTTGCGGCTTTGTAGTTTACTGAAGTCCTGCAGGGACACCCAAGTGGATTCGTGTATAGGGCGCTCTGGATTGTGGGCGCGCGACCGTTTTTTGATGCAGTTGGAGGCTTAAGAGTGCGTCTAATAGGCCGGAAAATACGGTAGTCAACTGGACAAAAGTTTATTTAGGTCGAATACGTTTTGCAGTTCATCCAAGCTGCTTGTTTAGCTGTCTGCAGGGAGGAGCTAAGTACAATGAAACTACTTTGAAACTCCTTCACAGTTTTTTTTTTTTAGTTAGCTATTGTGGATCTATTGAAGGCAAAGGAGAAATTCAATTTGGGAACTGGACAAATGTGTATTTATTCTATTGAGTGTGTGGTCATATTAACAGAATCATTCAGACCCCTGATTGGTGTTTTCACATCTCTGGACTTGACCTGGCTATCTCTATTGTTCTTTGTTTTAGGTCTGAGGATGAAGTTGTAAATGGGAGACAGATGATGTCTGAGTCTTCCAACTCTGTTCAAAGCAGAGTATGTGTTTCATTATTCTCAATATTTATATGTAAATGATGGATAGTTATTGTCAAGTCTTCTTTAGTTGTGTGACAGCACATTTCACTAAACAAACACCCACAGACTGGGCCCTCTATCTCAGTCGCTCAGTTTCATAGTGGTGCATTTACTTGTATGACTCCCGTCGGGCGAGCAGCTCTCTGGGTCTCTGTGCTGCAGCTCCACTGTCTGAAGAGTCCTGTGAATCGTCACTGTCTGAGCCCTGGGTCTGGAGACAGGAGAATATTACAGGATAAAACACTATTAGGAAACGGGACATACACGGTGCAGTGAAGAGCTGAACATAAACTATTTTCTATGGACAAACGTGTCTCCTGCCTATAGACAATGTAGAGAATGGATTATACACACTATGGCACAGCACCATGCATCGTTCTGCAGTACTTTCATGATGTCCAAATAAAAGTCACACAATTGTTTACCATTGTGTCCACTGCCAAATTTAAAGTGCATATGGCAGTTTTGACTAATTTTTTCACAGTTAGGCCATTTTTTAGGTTGAAAATTTTAGAAATCCTGACAAACATGTTGAAAAGTGATTTTGTTGTTGCTTTCTGTCAATTCTTCTGGATGGATTTAAAATGTAAATGTAAAAAGAATCCCATTATTAAAACACAATTGCACTGCTGGTCAGAAAGTTCACATTTAGAGAATTTTCCCAAATGCCACGGCTCCAAGTCTGACCTGTGGAGTGTGTCCCTGTGGAGACTGGATGACTGAGGACTGCGCAGACTGGATCACCCCCTGAACCTGTAACTGTCCCCCGGGCAGCTGTACGACAGTGACAGGAGAACCGGCCAGTGACATCTGCAGAAACACAACCAGGAAGTGAGACTGCTGCAGGAAGAGAACACACATACACAGACACACATACACAGACACAAAGGCTGCATCTCATTTCTATTTCCTTGCTTCCTTCTCCTTGATTCCTCTCCTTGATTTTGCAGTTATTGGGTGAGGAGGTCCCGCCCACAGAGGAGACAGCGAGGATAGAGGATATAAACTTCTCACTGAGACTGATAAAGTTTGATTCTTTTCTCTTTTCCTCAGCCTCCCTCAGGTTTACTCCTTCATTCCGTAGTTTTCTTTGAGACAACACTTAATAAAACAGATTTGAGTGACAGCTGGAAATGGAGGATCGAGGGGAGGAACCAAGGAGAAGGACGCGAGGAAAGAGAATTGGGACGCGGCCATACACTCATTGGGTTTGCGTGCTTTTCGGGACATTACATTGACTTCCTGAAAAACTAATTCTGGTTTACCTGACCTAAACCCTAACCCTAACCTTAACAGAGTTGTCACGATACTAAAATTTCAAACTTTTGATACTACGGAACAGACTTGATACCACAATTATAATGTTACTATGTATCCTTATATGTGTGTAATCCTCAGTGGTGCAGTATATACTAGCCTACGTGCTCTTCTACTTGTTCTGATACAGCTCGAGATAATTAAATATATCCTGAAAAGGTTTATTTCTGTCCTGTGAATGTGACTTTTTTTTGGTCTAGTTTCTCAAATGAGTATCTAGTTTCAGTATTAGTTTTAGTAACCCTAACTGTGACCTATTTTAACTCAGATCTAAACTTAAAACCATGTTGCTGATCTAATAAAAGGATTTCCGTCACGGAGACTTGATTTTTATCGCCACGATCCGAGCGTGTGTACAGTTTCCAGTCCCCACAATTTGATAAATACCCGTCCTCATACACTCACACACCACAAGGCAAAGCACTACCGCGCACGACGAAGCGCAATGACGGATACTGTTTGCACAGACACAACTGAGCAACAGAAGCAAAAATAGAATCCTCCAATCGAGCTGTGCAGATTCAGTAGATTTACGCTCAGCTAATGTGAATTACACACAAGTCACATTAAGGAAATGACCAAAGATGCATTTCTTTAGGGAAAATAATCTCTGCAAATGACAACACAGAGATAGAGACAGAGCGCCATTTTGTTACAGAAAAGCATGATCAATGGGCATGTCAAAAAGTCTAACAGACATCTGATTATTGATACAAAAACTAGACTGAATTTATGATTGTTTTCCATAATTATCTGAAAATATTTTTTCCTTGAAAACCAACGCTAGCATCTGAATGTTGAAAATAAAGACTGAAAACAAATTCCAGACACACTGCTAAAAGAACAAAATACAAGCGCAAGTAAAAACATGAACTCCCTGTTTGGAAATGGGACATTTCTGAATGGTCAGAAAGTGAACTTTAGCAGCAGCAGCTGAAATGCAGCCTGTGCAAACCTGTACCTAAGGCAGAGCATGCAAATGTGTAAATACTGATGAGACAAAAGGACTCATTGATTATACGAGGCAATATTTTAAATGTCAGTAACAGAGAACTATTTTGAATAACCCTTAAAAGAACATGATGAAAAGATCTGTGTGGGCCCATGTATAATAGAAAACATCTTCATGTTTCTCCCATAACAGAACAAGTACTTATTTGCTCTTTAATGATTGCATTTGTTAAAAGGTGCACTATGGAACTTTTCTCCATGCAGAGGTTAGTGCTTTGCCTGGAATGTTCCATGATATGGCATTAAAACTTAGATTAATTTAACAAATACCTTGAAAAACATTCATTTGTACCGTGAACAGGGTCACCGCTCCACAAACCTGATCTGTAAACTGGCCTAGTGCTGGCGCCTGCTTGTCTCCATGGAGATAGACAAGATTAATATTAGACATTAGAACATTCCAGGCTAAACAATATGTCCATGGAGATAAGCAGTAGACACTCCATCATAAAGCTTCATAGTACACCTTTAAAATGAATCCTTCAACACAAAAAAATAAAAAATAAAATTATATATATATATATATATATAACCTGTATCTCTTTAGACGTTTCACCCCGTTATTTGTGACACAATCAAAGTTGGGCAATACCAGCAGGCAAATCGAAATGCGCTCAAAGCTCTTCCTCACGCCTCCAAGCTTCACAGCAGCACACTGTCACTAAAAGCATAGCCTGGCACAAGCGGACAGCGCTATTCCACTGCACATTTACGCAGGTTTGCGCGCTTTTCTGTGCGTTACCTGTTGGGCTACCTGTGAGTTTGTGGAGGAAGAGTCAGTGCCATTGGTGCCAATCTGTACATCTTCCATTTTCACTAAAACAAATGAATTGATAAATGTGATGTTTGAATAACAGTGAGCGCCTCTAGGGTGACACAGCCGTTTGTAGCCAACAAGAGTCAATGGTCTGATCAACTCTTTGGCCTATGGCGCTCTACTTTACCACCACAATAAGTTAAATACATGAAAAGCAAGAACATGAGAGGTTTAAAAGCGCTATGGAAGTAAAATAAATCAAAGTTAGTGTTAAACGTGTGGGATTAAGGTGTCAATTTATGGACTTCCTCTTTGATTCATGTTAGCCACAGCGCCTTTTGGAGTTACCGACTTTAGCTAGGCCCTGCAGACAACTTTCCAACTCAATATTAGATTTTTACCCCAACTCGTAAACAAGTAAACTAGAGACAATCCCTTTATGCACACACGTAAATTATCAACAGTAACATTACATTTCCTATCGTAAGTCAGTGCCTCCGTAAAGCGGATGTTAACATGTGAAAACGTTTAAAACACGACTTTAAAGCGCTCCAAACGCTACAAGTTGAACCACTCTGCTTTACGCGAGATGGATGAGCTTTTGTCTCAATGAGAAAAATGTGTAACTCTGTCACTGGCACGCAACTTACCGCGTCAATAGACGTCAGTGTTACGAGGCACCATTAAAGCTAACTACACCTTCCCTTTTCGTAAGAAGCGACGAGCCCTGGGAGAGGCAGCCGCCATTACCGCGTCACGGCGCACCAAACTACAGCTCACATTTACCTTTCCCGGGCCTCTTATCGGCTCTGGCGCACAGCGTGGAGTTCGTGTGTTTACTTTGACAGATGAAACTGGGTGTAAAAGTTTCTAAACAAGCAAAGCTAACGGCTAAAACAGAAAGATGTCAGCTAAAAAAAATAGCTGACCACTTTTTTCCCCAAAGGAAGTGGGCGGAGCGTAGTGCCAAAGACGCATTACGCAATGGTCCCTCTGCGCTTCGTGATTGGTAAAAATGTGCAACAGATAACTCAGTGGAAAAGTTCAATGGCCCAGTTTATCTGAAAGCTCTAAACACAAATTCAGACCTTCAGACATTGTGCACAAGCGAATTCTGTTACTGCAAGGCCACACATGTTCTATTATTTTGCCTGGAATAGTCTTTGGCTCTTGCTTATAGCCTGTATATATTTTAAACGCGACTAAGGATTAATTTTTTCTAAAGTTGTGTTCCACATATTCCACATGCTATCTTGCATTTATTTCATTATTTTGAATGGTACAAAATGCATTCTTTCTATGAGCCTGTTTAAATGGAGATAGCAAGTTTTTATGTTGGACTGTGGAACATTCTGAGCAAAACCATGACATCTTCATGGAAGATAAATAAACTTGTGTTTATTATAACAGCATTTTATTTTAGCTCCTGAAAATGAAAACATTTATTACTACACAACTTCTACTACTACTTCTGAGTAAGAGATAAAACACAGAGACATGTTTGTTCTGGGTCATTTATTAAGTTTAGAAAAAAATAAACAAAAAGTAAGTTATTTCTGAACATAAGTAAATAGGACATAGACTGGAATATTTCACTCCAAATGAAGTTTACAAAGGTCCCGTAGTTTTAACCAGTGCAAAGTGCCATAATGAGTACCATTTCATTGCATTGTCTTCAGCTGTGGGTTCTGATGAAAGGTGTTTGAATGCAGAGGTTCAGAGGATACAAAATGCTTCTATTTACATGTACAGTATTTAGCACAACATTATATGATACAGTTTTCTCTGGCAGAGGCTCTCAGCTGGTGGGTCGGGTCGCTCACTGTGAACTACAATGTTGACTTAGGCACACAACGCATAATTATAGAAACTAAAACTTGGACTAAAACTGGACCAGATCAGGGCTAATCCAGGTCTAGAACCAAACCAGATCTAACAACAGGACCAAACCAGGACCAGATCAGGTCCAGATCACGACATGATCTCACTCAAGCCTGTAATTTACTGTAACTGACTGCAACTTAATCCCAAACAGCAATAATGTGGACTCACTCAGTCTTTATAGGTATTACAATTCTAAGTAAACAAGGTACCAAACAGGTCTAGACTGGGGAAAAACAACTTGGACTAAAGCTGGACCAGATCAGGACTAAACCAGGACCAAATTAACCACGATTAAACCAGGATCTAACCAGGACAAAACCAGGACTAGTGTGATTTGCAGTCTTCATGTTTGTAACAACTAACTCACCCGAGACTAAATCAGGACTAAACCAGATTAAAAAAATAAAAAATAGAAACATGTCTAAATGCACTAAATGTGGGCCAGTTAGTTCTTAACCAGGTTTAGAGACTGGTAAACCAAAAGACCTAAATCTGGACTACAGTCGAGGTCTCAGTAAGATCTAAATCAATCCACAAATGTTAACTTGGACTAAACCAGAACCAAGCTGCGTCTCAGTAACTGACCAATAATTCATAAGCATGTTTCAGATGTTCAGAGGAGGAGAAGAGAACACAGAGATAACATACACACTGGAATTGGGAAAATTTTAAAAAAGAACATTTAAAAATAAAAAGTTCTCAAAAATACATTGATTAAACTCGAGCTCCTGACCCACCAATCAAGAAGCTCTGATTTCTACTGACCACCAAACCAAGGTCTTAAAGAAGTGGCTCAGTTTTGCTATTGCATTTTTAAGTGCTTTTCAATTCAGTGACAAACACATATGAAGGAGGACTGAGGCAGACTTAGAAAGGGAACATGATTTTGAATATAATTATTTTTCTTTTACAACTTTCCACAAAGACAAAACACATTTTAAATTTAAAATAGAGAAAAAAATCATTCAACACTTGCGTCAGTCTGCAACAAAACAGTCCAGGAACTAAACTCCCATCAAGCAAAACATTATGAGCCTGAATATGAGCCACTCCAACACCGAAACTGTTCACAATTTTTGAAAGAAATAACAGATAATTTTTATTTAGGGTTGGGTATACATCCCTGGGTTAGACATGGTTAAGTCCTGATTTGGACCTGGTTTAGTCCGGGTTTAGACCTTATTGCCTGAAATTCGGGATGGAGTTTTTATTTTCATTTTTTTTGCTGATGATACATAGACAATAATATTTTTAATCTTTAAACCTGTCGGGCCGCTTAATGTTTATCAGAAAATAACTACTCAGTATTTTGTTTGAGTGTAATTTTCGGGACATTTAGGGCTGGATTCGACATTAGGGACAACAGCTTAGATTCCGAATTTTTGGGGATATCTGGTCACCCTAACCTGATATAATCCTGGCTAAAATGGGCAGAACCTGGTTTTAAGTACTGTACACCTCTTGTGGGGGGTTCTAAATCTGCATTTGTCAGTTCCTAAAAAAGGTGTTTTAGACCTGGTTTACCCCTAGTTTAGACCTGGGTTAGACTTGGTTTAGTCCTGGTTTAGACCTGGTCTGGACTTGGTTTAGACCTAGTTTAGACTTGGTTTACCCCTAGTTTAGACCTGGTTTACATCTGGTTTATACCTGGTTTGGCCCTGGTTTAGACTTGGTTTGGTTCTAATTTAGACCTGGTTTAGACCTGATTTGGCCCTGGTTTAGACCTGATTTAAACCTGCTTTAGTCCTCAGTTAAACCTGCATAGTTGCCAAACCAGTTCAGCGTTTGTGGCGTTCCCATCTGTATCTATCTGAAATGGTCCAAACAGGTTTGTTGGCTCTATGTTCAGGTGATCATATTGTTTTGCTTGATCAGCATAAGACTACAAACAAAGAAAACCAGTGGACCTTTGAGTGAATAAACCTGATAGCCTTTAAACAGTCATTGTATCATGGGTGTAGTATATTAACATTTGCTATTATTTCTGCTTTGTCTTGAAGCTCTTCGTGCCTCAAAATTGTAGTAAAATAGACATTTTGAAAAGTGCATTGTTAATCCTAACCAAACGTTACCACTGAAAACAACCGTTAATCCGTAAATGCCAAAACTATCACATCTTATTTACATATTCCCCGTCCTTATTGTCCGAGCGCCTGGAACTCAAACACGTGTGAAGCATTCATACATTTGTACAATTTCAATGTTTTTACAGTTAGATACAGTATCTAAAATACCAAAAGGATTGTTACAGTACAGGATATACTCTCTTTTCTTTGTTATTCATGGTTTAATTTTTTAAAACATTAATTTCATACTAGGCAGTGGTTGTCAACTGGGTTCAAAATGACAACACAAGTAGAATTCTAGTTTTGTAACCTTGAAATTAAAATTGAGTGAGGTGCCTGTACCAGATTTTTTGCTGTATTTGAGTAAATTTTGTCTCAGTACAGATGTATTGTAGAAGCAGCTCATGAGCTCTAAATAAGTACTAACTGCATTGAATTCTAAATCATCTTATTGTCTGATAATTAGGAAGTGCAAGTTAGCATGCTGCAAACTGTTTACAATGAACTAATTCTGTTTTTCACCTTGTTAAGACAGTCAAAATCAGGTACAACACCTTTACGATTGTAGTAACAGCTAATAAACTGCACTAAAATACCAAAAGACTGGAAGTTGTAGAAGTGTATTGCCCAAAGACACAACAGCGACATGCGTTGACAATCTCCAGGCAAGAGAATCTCTACTTATAACTAGATTTTCAACTTCTATCTTATTATTTGAGGACTTTTGGACGACAGCCCCACATTTTCACCTCTTTCCCACAGATAAAGACAGTCAAGTATTCAACCTTAAGTGGGAATGTTTCTAGAATAAGTGCAAGAAGCAAGTAAGTAACACAATTATAGTGGGGCACCATAAAATTACTGAATAAAAATGGCACCAAACTGTTCCCCAGGTGACGACCACTGCCCACAACAGAAGACTCAACATTAAACAAAGAACACTTGAAATCGATAGAGGAATGTATGGCTAGTTCTGTATAAGGCAGGAATTAAAACAGGGATTGACTAAAGTCTTTTTGGCTTCGACATTTTATGGGACAATATTAGTTATATTAAGACAATGAAATGTACACGGGCTGCTCTGTATGCGCCTTCCAAACGCAGCCATTCTCAACTGGACGGAGCGAACCCAAAATAAAAGTTCAAATATATGTTTTTATACGTACACTATGGAACTTCTATGGAGGGTCTGCCAGCTGCTTGTCTCAATGGAGATGTTATAGATTTGTCTACGTCTTTGCGAGTCACTGTTAATGCAAATTTGTCTAATAAATATTTAAATAACGCCACTGATGGTTGTAGAGACTCCAAAAAACCTTGAGCAGACCTAAAGATAGATATGTGTTTAATGCATATTGTGGAACTTTCCAGGCAATAACATCGTCATAGAGATAAACAGAATGAACCCTCACCAGAAAATGTACATAGTGCAGATGTAAAATGTGCCAAAAATTAAAACAGAAGGATAAAATCATTTGTATAAAATTGGGCGTCCCACAAGTAGAGAATCACTGTGTTCTAGTGAATCAAAATTTCATTAAAAATACAAGAAAACCTGAAACATGCATTTGTGAGTTTGAAAGCAGCTTGTAAAACTGTGCAGTGTTAGTTCAAAAGAGAAAGTGTGTTTTGTGGTAATTTTAGAAAATTATTACTTTGTACAAAAAGCAGGCGTCCGTTCTGTCCCTACGAAGTGCAATAAAAACTGGTTTGTTCAAGTCGAGTTGTTGCCGTTTATGTTGTTTGTTTTTTTTCCACAGTGACTTGGAGAGAGGAGATCTGCTGGTGAAGCTGGAGAACACTGCAGCTCCTAAAGTTGGAATAATCTAGTTTTTATTTGACTTCAAAATGAGAACATATCTTAAAGAAACTGTATGTATTTTGATTTTGAACTTCATAAACATGACCTGAACTGTATTCTCAATACAAGGAAGACATATTCACATCAAACAAACTCTTACTCGGTACAAGTGTAATGCCGATTTACAATTATAAACCCCAGCACCTGCAGTCAGTGAGTCAGTGCTAGTGCAGCCTCTTCAGCTGCAGTATATGCTGTCCATATCCACCTTATTCCGCCTCGCCCACTTTTGTCTCTAAATGCTCCAAAACTGGGCTTTTTTGTGGCGGCACTTCTGCTTAAATGGGGACCCCATTCAATTCAGTTCATTTGTGTAAAAGGAGAGTATTTAAAACAGCTTTATTTGCTGTAAAGATCGGCAGCCTCATGCAAAATAATATAACCTGAATAAAGATGGCGGCACCCATGGCAGCTTCTGGAATAAGGTGAATACTGAGAGTGAGAAAAAACTCGGATGTGTCCTCTGTCTGCAGGTTAATGCTCTGGCAACACAGGTCGAGTTGTGATTGCACCTTTTTTAAACTGTGAGAGAGCAGGCTACATACAGTTCCTTTAAAACAGACAAACTCCTGGTCCGTTTGTGTGAAAAAACACGGAGGCTTAAGAGTAAAAAAAAAGAAAGAAAAAATAACAGAGGAGTGAAAAACAGAATCTGCGGAATGAAGTGAAGGACTAAATGTTGTTGTTTAAAGGTGACAGAAGTCTACTTAAGTTGAAGATCACCAATGACGTTGTTTGGTTCCCAGACTGTGAAAATCTACACGAGCTGCACAAATAAACTTGCCTTTCCTAAATGATTCCAACTTTATCTGCAGCACTATTGAATATTGATTATTGAATATTGTATGTGAACAGTTCACATGTTGTAAGCCACGTAGATGGGGTCAAGCTGATCTGCGAGGAAAGAGTCCCTCAGGTGCATGCGCTGCTTCTCGCCCCTGGAATTGATGGGGATGACTCCTGGATCTACGATGACCACTACGCCCACGATCAGGTGATGCTCCTCCAAAACCACGTTTGTGATCAGAGGAACCAGGTCCAATGCATCCTGCTCAGAGCCACACAGCTCTGACACCACCACCAGAAGGTTGGTCCATGTAAACACAGCACTGGGACAGAGACAAAGAGAGAGTGAGTCAAGGATCGAACGATTGATTCATTTTCTATTAGTGTTAAATCATCATCATCATCCCCATCATCCCCATCATCATCATCATGTATTCAGTGTTTCCCACAGATTTAGTTCTGATTATGGTGGCACAAATATTTTCTGTATGAATCATTTTCTTTCATACAGTTTGTGGAGTTTGACACTTCTTGCCTGTATGTCATATTTAAGTCTTTTTGAATACTGTACTTTTTATGTTAATGACAATACAAAAGTTTATATGGCTTTATTCAGTGCGTTCAAAGTACGCAAAGTACTTAAGTGCATTATTCATTTACTCCACACTTAGCATTTTCAGGCCATCAGAGAACCGTGCCGGTGCCAGTTCCTGCACCTAATCTTGAACTGACTGAGGTGTTCACACCAAAAATCAGAGTGTTTGAGAACCGAAAAGTTGGTTCCCGATAGGAACCGTGTAAAACTTGTTTTTTTCCAAGCGAACCATGAGGACACAGTTGATGTCAGCAGGTTCATCCGGGTCACATGTGGTCAAATAAACAAACAAAGAAAACATGTGTGGAACATGGTGGAAAAATCAAGTGACAATAAGATTGTGCAGTGGTCAGCAGAGGAGCAAATATCTGCTATATCCATGTTCGCCTGGTAAGATTACATCTCTGGATTCGGTGTCGCTACCGCCTTCCCCACAGCAGATGTTGTAGCAGAGTTTGGTGCAGATAAATCATATGGCCTTGTTTTTAATTTGGTGGCAAATCCACACTCTCTGATGATGACGCATCATGGGTTCACTTAAATGGTCTGAACCGCAGGTCATTCACCGATAAGCACTTTGGTTCCCAGGGTGTGGGAACCGTTCTGGCAAACAGCGTTCTGAAACAGCTTCAGTTGGTGGTAAGCTACTATTGTAGCCAGAGCTGCCCTGGGGGAAACTGACAGAAGCGTGGTTGCCAATCTGCACCACTGTTCAACTATTTGACCACCACCAACACACACTCACACACCACATTCATATTAAACAATGTGAGTGAAGTGTTTTGCTGAAAGACACAACAACAGCACAACAACAATTTGAGCCACTGCTGCCAGGCCCGGCCCTGTTTCACTTCCAAGATAAGAGGAGAAATTTTATTTACTCATTTACAGGGGTTACCATCTTTAAATTGGATACTCAATTGAGCAGGTATCAACATCAGGGAAAAAAAAAGATAAAAATACTATTCATGACTGATATTGGTGGGTCTAGACTTTCTGTTATATGGGGCCATTTTGAGGAAAAAAAACTGGAGGGTGGCAGACCTCTCAGCGATACTGCGGTGAGCCCGGGACACAGAGATCTCGATGTCGATGGGGTGGTACCGTAGACCCCTCAGCTCCAAAGTCTCATCTAGAGACCCCACCACGAACAGGGCGTCATGGCGATCTGGAGGAAAAAAACAACAACAACAACTTTTGAACAGAATTTCTATCACAAATCTAACTGCAATGTTTGTCAGAACATTTACAATGAGATCTTTTTAAATTGTTAAGCCTGAGCTTCATGTTCTATTACCTCCGCTAGCATCCAGGAGCTCGGTCCTCTTGACAAAGCCCAGGTATCCGGTGCGCGCCCAAAGTGTCTGAGGGTCTCCGAAGCTGAGTTTGGTGTTGAAGTGGTCGGCCTGCAGCCCCTCCTCTCCGTAGATGGTGTAATATCCACTGGAGTTATGAGGACTGTGCACCCAGATCTGAGAAGCAGGACAGCACACTGAGTTAGACTGGAGCTGTGCAGGAGCTGCCCTTTCAGCGCTAGATAACAGAATTTCTGTTCGTGTAATAATTTTATTTTTTATATTTTGGATTCTTATTGTTGATTTGGTGTTCTTGCGTTGTGTAACGTGTCTCTGCAATTCAGGGACTGCAGATGGAAACAATTATCTATAATCTGATCAGTAACATCTCAGTGTGAATCTGTCTAGTCAAATTAAAACTAACTACAGGAGACCAAACAATTTAATGTTTTCATTGCAAAACGGCTTTCAATATTGAGTTCATTAACAAGACCATTTTGCCATTTCACTGAATAAATGTTCCTCCAGAGTCGTCCGTCTGCTCTGGAGGTGACAGAGGATTGGCTGTGGACCTGTCCACCTGCAGCTGCATGTGTTGAGAGGCAACTCTGACTTTGTGCTTTTTTATTTTTTGAAAAAAAAGAAGAAAGCATAATTGCATAAATGTATTAAAAGTTACATATTCAACAATGTAATGTCAAAGTTAAGTGAAGTTATTTTACCTCCCCCAGATGTGAATCACCAAGTGGACCTTTAGTTTCAGGGTTTACTATTATTACTCGAACTCCAGGTAAAATCTAAAAAAGAAAAAAAAAAAAAGTTTAGTTATAAATAAGAGTATACTATATCTGGAACCTTTAGGAGATCTTACTTTTCCTGACTCCATCAGTGGAAGACTCTGAGGTGCTCCTCTCTCCACCAGTCGAACTCTGAGAACACAGAACCTTTATTAATGACCACACAAACCATGTGGTGGAATTTGCTTTGAGTACACACTATGTGAGTTTCCTGAGATGGAGGTCACCTGCATGATTCCATGGAAATTCCAGAACATGAAGATAGATTCATTTTATTTCATTCATTTTACTTTGGAATATTATAGCCAAAGGAACAACATTCCCATGGTAACAAGCAGAAAGAGACCCTCCTTCAGGCAAAATAAGAGTCAGGTTTGTGAAGATGCAAGCTCGCTCACTACACATGACACATGTTTTTCTAGGTTTTTCAATGTAATAGACACAACCATCAAAAAAAAACAAAAAAACAAAAAAACTACAACATCCTTTTATATTAGTCTATTTTTGGCTAGAAAGTTATATTCTGGGGCATTAAAACACTCCAAATATAATAGTGCCTCAATGTAATGAAATATAATTATCCTGTTTTGACCCTCACCTGTCATGGCGGAGGGATTTCATGTCCACATAAACTGTACAAGGATCAGGTCCAGTGGTGCCCTGATACAAAAACACACATTATATTCATCAGGTCAAATCACTCAAGTAAAACACTGTGAAATGGAAACTGATATTTCAGTGTTCAGACCTGTAGACAGACTGCAAGGTTGACCCTTGACCCAAAGGCGGTGCTGACGGCTCTGGAGGACAAACCCACATCTTTAAAGAGTTTGGAGAAGGAGTGTGACAGGGCCAGACGGGGGCGCTCTTCTGCGATCACCACACAGCTCCGCACACATGACAGATTTACCCCTCGTGCCTGAAAAACAAAAACAGGTTTCATTTATAAGTAAATCTCCTGTCTATTTATAGTTCAACAAGCAAGGTTGAAGTAAAGGCCATACTACTGAAATCAAAATCAAACCCAGTCCACAGTAAACCATGAGCTGGTGCATTTTCTATTGTTGATCCTATTTTATGGAATGAGCTGAATGAAAAATAAAAGTTAAAGTTAAAAGTTGACCTGAGGCTCTATCTTATATTAAATGTATGATATTCTACTGATTGTGTGGTCCTCAGGGAGGTGCTTGCAGTGCTGCATTGGTTAAGAATCCCTGGAGTAGAGGGCACTAAAATGTACTGAAGTAAAAGTAAAAAGCTGAGCAAAAATATCCTAAAGTAGTCAAGTATTCATTGTGTCCTGTCGCATGTTTGTTACCTTGAGCAGGTCAGTCTGTGTGCCCAGGCCCCTGGTGCACAGCTCCATCACAGAGTACGAGCAGAACGTGTCTCTGATGCGATACTGGCTCAGAGTGGTGAGCCACAGAGACACACAGCTCTCCAGCTCAAAGGGAGGGATTAGGATCGACTGGTGCCCTGAGTACACACTGAAACCAACAGGAGACAAGCCATTATACTAATGTACTAGCTAGGATCACAATATATGAAAAAGGGTGCATCAGAACTGCGGAACCTAATGGCTGCAGTCACATGCACATTTAAAATCAGATTTCATAAAGCCGCTCATATACTACAGAACCTATCTAGATATCTATGAACTAGTTCATTTGAAACACTTTGCTGTGGTCCAAAGTTATGGTTCACTTTCCTTCTAAGCATCCTAATAATTCAGTACAATGAGTTTTTAAGCACTTATCACAACTTTCAGAGGAAAGAGTGGAGTTTTGCTGTCTGCTTTTGAAATATATCTGTATTGAGAGAAGACAAATTTAAGAAAAAATACTTACAGGCCCTTTCGGTACCTACTTTTTCCTTTTACTGGCAACGCTGACATGCACACGAAAATCAGATTTTTCTATGAAGTGTCTGATAATTGAAATGACAGTAAAACAGCAAAATCTGATATGATTAATTAATTTTTTTTCTGATCATGGTCCCTCAGATTACTTATATCACATTTTGCAGTTTGCATGTTATTTTAATAATCTGACAATTACAGAACTCTGCTGAGCATACAGTAAAATATGCCATAACTTCTCTAGTATGTGACCAGCTTTATGAAATCAAACTTTTGGATTGATAAAGTCAAGTTCATGTTGCATAAATAGACAGATTAAGTCTTTCTAACTGCACCTTGCGAGGCACCAGAGGACGAAGCCCAGGCCACAGTACGGGTCCAGGCAGATGGCGATTTGTCGAGACGAGTAAAGTTCACACTGGAGTTTGATGGAGCGACACAGAGCACTGATCGCAGCATGAGAAATCTGACAAACACAAGACATGGAAAAGACAGGATAAGAATTCATTTAGCTACTATCAGTAATACAATGGGTTTGGGATAAGTTTTTAAAAAAAGGAGTTTTACACTTCTATGAGGTATTAACTTGAACACATAACATATTTAAATCATCATATTAACTTGTTAATATGATGATTATGTTATTATATGTTATATTATAACAATATGTTATTGTTTTCAAAGAGCTATATTCGCCCAAAACAAGTTTAATAAGTTTCAGTTTCAGAGTTTCAGTGTCTTGAACAGAAGTTCAAATAGGAGATACCACTACACTACACATTACTCACACATGCACGGATGACATATGTGCCTGTGCTCTTTGACACCTGCAGCAGAAATCTTTTTTGATCTTCATTCTTTGTTTGGCTACAGTTAAATACAGTTGAATAAGCTTCACCTCTTTTCAGAAACATCATGAACAACTTTCCTGGAATGCACAGTTTTAGCTCCTTCTAAAAGTCTCATCATCAGCCCAGTCTGCTGCTGGAGAATTGTTCAAAATGTTTTTGGCAGATCAAGAGCTTTGAAGAAACACACTGTGCTGGTGGAGACAAAAATCACTGATCTGCTTCCCTTCATAATCTGCTTGATTAAGGGCATCATGTCGCTTTGGTGGAACCTCTGAATCTTCGTTTTTCATAATATTGTGAAGCATCAGCTTCTTCTGTTCTTCTGTCACACTGGAGTGGAAGATGCCAGGCTAAACATTTCTTCACTCAAGTACTAAAGATGTCGGCCCAAAGCTGTTAAGGTGCTTTCTTCACAACTCAATGTTCAGAATCTGACAGCTTCTTAAGAAACCAAATCATCTGCAGGAGCTTCAGAACTTCATGCAGTTTCGGCAACCTCTAAAACATCTCCTTTTTAAACCAAATGTCTTCCTAAAACATGTTTTAGACACTTAAACCTAATGCAGGCTTCTAACTGAGGTTATCTAAAACTTTATTTTTTACCAGGCTTTGATGGAACACCCTAATACTGAAGTACACTTTACCTTACCTTACAATATTATCACAATGCTTTGGAAATACGTTTAAGAGTGTTGTCTACTCAATGACTATGTTTACTTGCACAACAACAATCTGATTTGGTTTTTAAATGGTTTCCTTAAATGACCCCAGCCCAGTCCCTCACCTTGACCCCGGTGAGCATGCCTGTGGTGGACACGCTGAAGTCCAGGTACGCGATCATCTCTGCGGTCGGAGGTTTGTAGATCTGCGGAGGGCGCCGTCGAGGCAGGTCATCTGAAGTAACAAAACAGGAGTTAGAGACTGAAGAAGACTGGGTCAAATTTAAACAAAAAATTAATACTTTAAGTTTAAAAATGCTCAGATCGGCTTTCAGTGAAAATGTCACCTGTGTCGATGATCGTTGGCCACGTCTTTATATTTACAGAAGCGGCTGCCTCTTTAGAGCGCAGGATCCTGGTGAGGTTCTGAGTGGTGAGGATACAGGCGGCTCGACTGACCTGAGGAGACAGTTTTTTTGTTCTTTATTATAACCAAAACATAACATACAGATTGATTCATTTGTTTTTATTTCGAGTTTGTGCCAAGAGAGAAACAATAATCATACATATACTATTGAGAACAACAGAAAAACACATTTCTCGAAAAGGAGTGGGAAGAAGAAAAAATTATATTAACCCACCCCTGTTCATTAAATAGTTTCAAAAATTGTGTGGTTGTTTATGTGCATTAATCACAAAACTTTGCAGATATTTACATATAGTAAAATAAAGTACATACTATGCATACTTAATATAATTTTAACCCAATTTCTTTTCTTTTTTGTTTTGTGCTGTTTTATGTTTTACAGTTATTATTTTATGTGTATACGTTTTTTTTCATTTAATTACCTTATTCTTAGTCGTAGTGGTAGTAGTATTAGTTGTAGTAGTAGTAGTCGCAGTAGTAGTCGTAGTAGTAGTAGTCATAGTTGTCGTCGTAGTAGTAGTTGTAGTAGTAGTAGTTGTAGCAGTAGTAGTCATAGTAGTAGGTGTCATAGTCATAGTAGTAGTAGTAGTAGTAGTAGTAGCAGTAGTCATCATAGTAGTCATAGTAGTAGTCATAGTCTCGTAGTGGTCGTAGTTGCAGTAGTAGTAGTCGTAGTCGTAGTTGTAGTAATAGTAGTAGTAGTAGTAGTCATAGTCGTTGTCGTAGTAGCAGTAGTCGTAGTAGTAGTCGTAGTCATAGTAGTAGTCGTTGTAGTCGTCCTAGTAGTCGTCGTAGTAGTAGTAGTAGTTGTCGTAGTAGTCGTAGTTGTTGTAGTCATAGTCGTCGTAGCAGTAGTAGTAGTCGTAGTCATAGTTGTAGTCGTAGTAGTATTTAGCTCACCCAGACATCTATTTGTACCAGGCATGTATTTGTACTACATTAAGCACAAATGCACAAATAGTTGAATCCAAAAATACTATATACTATCAGCTTCATATTTAGGCAGCTCAACTATGAAAAAATGTACTTCATGATTACTAGAAACATTTTTTTTTCCTACACAATTAACTGAAATCTAACATCTACTAATTCCCTGAGAGCAGAAAGTAAAAGTGTGTAAGAGTTTAACGTACGTCGATGATCATGCGCACGGTGGGCAGAGTGGCAGCCAGGTTCTGTGGGTGAGGAGGTCTGACGTTGACTGGGACACATCCAGCGTAAAGACACCCATAAAACGCTGCGATCAGGTCGATGCCTAAAGGACACAGAGATACCTCGGATGAGAAAACAAACACTGGAGACTGGCAACGTATTTAACAGCGCAGATCTGTGGAGAGGAGAGTCCACCCATAAATAAAAGTAAGATAAATATGTTTAGTGCTGTAAGATGAAATGCAATTCTATGGAACATTTTAGACAAAGAATAACATCTTTCTATATCTGTTAGCAGACCCTTCACCAGGAAAAGTTACATAGTGTAGCTTTAAAGTAAGACAATAATTAAGGATTGGAAAAATATATACACTGTATATGTTTTTGACATTTGGTGTGGACTAAAAATGGTTACACCTTTTGTTTATTCCTTTTGAGAGGCTGTTGTGTTACAAGACAGCAAACTATACAATTATTAGAGATGGGACAAGATCTCATGCCACAAGATCTCGCGAGACAAAACTGCCACAAGATCATGCACAAATGAGAAAAATGATCTTGTGAGATTTTTTTACCCTGAATTTACCACTGACTTGGACTAAAAAAAGAGTTAAGAGCTGGTGAGTTATACAGTTTGTGAAGTTGCAGTTCCAAAAAGCAGTACAATGACCGCTCAAGTATCACATAAAATAAATAAACATAGTGTAGCCAGAATTGTGTAATGGATTGCACTACTTACTTATTACAAATTATGTCAAAATCTTGTCTTGTCTTGTTCTCGTGGACACAATGTTGTGGTGTGTCTCCTGAAAACTGTGTTTCGTCCCACCCATAACAATGATGTATTATTAAATCATTACAATATTTAAGCAAAAACTGTGAACTCAACTGCCCAATTGATTAATTCTAAATCTGGTCAAACTCTTGTGTCTCATCCCACCCCAAATATTTCATAATTAACATCCAATCCATGAGGCCAAATCTGCATATACACAGTTTTTTGTTTTTCACACTCAAAAAATCAGATATAAAAAAAAAAAACACAACACAATATAATAAATATTGTTTGAGACCTGGGGGGTAGAGCAGCACCACGTTCTCCCCTGTGTTGATGCTTCCTTTCTCCATCAGAGCTGCTGCGATCTTCTCGGCTCTTTTATGGAGCTGCACACACGTGGCTGTGCACACAGTCATGCCCTGGACAAAAACATACACACATTTTAGAACCACAAATGTATCACATACAGGGAATGTAACTTCATTACATTCATCAAGCCAAAATAAAACAGCGAAAACATTGACATTTTTTTAACATGTAAAACTACACTGCAAAACTTTTTTCGAGGAACAGCCGCCTCCTACTTCTGTCCATGGAAGTGTTCGCCTCAGCGACCCTGTGAGTCAGCATGTTTTTCAGGTATTTTTGAGCGATAAAAAACACTTCCTATCCTAGACAGAAGTTTATTTAATGCCATTTTAATGCAAATTTCTAGACAAAGCATTAACATGGATACAAGCAGAAGGCTATGCTGGACCCTCCATCAGAAAAGTTAAGCAATTCCTTTTATTCTATGTTAAAATCCCAATGACAAAGTCACAAGGAATCTGACCTGACAGGCCTAAAAACAGGGCCTTTTTTGATACAAAATTATGGTTCAAAACTTTTCCCACAGTTGAGTCCTGACCTTTGCATTGAGCAGGACAAATAAGACATGGTCTGGGTCGCTCTGGGCCCTCCACTGCAGAGCCTCGGCCAGGTACTGGTGCTGAAGGAAAAAGAAGACACAAATCAGATGTTTGATCAAAGAAAAACTATTGAATAGTTTGTTACTAAAGCCACAACAGGGAGAATTCTCATCTGGTTATTACAACAGAGCCTGAGTTACACAGAGAGCAGCTGTGGGTGAAATGCAAAATAACAAAGCAACACTATGCAGCTTTTCTGAGAGAGACTAGCAACACTGAAGACAGATCATTCAAAACTATCCGATTATCCAGAGATACAGATTTGTCAACAGTCTGATCATCTTTGCATTTACATGTTGAAGTTGTAAAGATACATAGTGCTCCTTTAACCCTTTGCCTAGCTTAGCATATCTCAACAACACATGCTTTTATGAGCATGTCCAAGGGCGGTTCTAAGGGGGGAGTAGGGGTCCCTCCTGAGCCTTGGCCCCTAAATGCTCCTCTGAACAATTTAGTGAAAACTGAAAAGCGCTGTCATAGATTAAAGAGGTGAAAAAGTAATAGAAACTGTAATGTAATGTTATATGCAAAGGTGTTTTTATTAGCTGAGAATCAGGAAGGGCTAGAGAACACTGGTGTGCTATTAGCATGCTAGTTGTTTTCAGCAATAACGTGATGACAAAACTCTGCTCTGGTCTCTGAAAGTTGTGAAAAGTGCTTATAAACTCATCGTGGTGAATATTTAAAATGCTCTGAATGCATAAGGTAAGTGAGGAAGAACTTTGGAAAGTGAATTAATTCAGTTTTTCATGTTTTTAAGACAATAGAATTAGGCACAGCTTGTTTATTAATGTAACAAATAGAAGGCAAAAATATATTTTCTGTTAAACCAACGTGTTATATAAACCCCCCCCCCGGTAAAGTGGTGTAGAACCGCCCCTGATAATGCTAAGTTCAAACACAACAAGGCTGAGACATCGGGAAAAGCACAGGTAAAAGTATAATTAGCATAATAATAAAATGTAAATTAATATATAAAATGAAGAATGAGGGGAGTAGCCAGCAGGTTGTGTTTGGTAGATTTCTTACCATCACAGTTGGCCACATACAGAGCTACAGTGAAAGAAAAGAGGAGGAGGAGAGAGAGAGAAAGAGAGAGAAACGAGAAAGAGAAAGAGAGAGAGAGAGGGGTAGAGAAGAAGAAGCCAGAATCTCTATTATAACTACACAACTATCAAACGTAGTGTGTTCAGATCATGTTTAAAAAATTACAACATATATTTAAAAATGGGCATGCTGATGTGTGCTGCAAGAAAGTGAGTTAAAAGGACTGGAATTATAATCATCATTTGAATAATTGGAACTTTTTAGGTTTTATTTTTAAAAGAATTTCAAGCTTGTGGAGAAAAAAGGCTTCTTTTTTTTTTCCAACTTCTCTGGTAAATAATTACTTTGGCACAGTAGGTCAGTATTACAAAATAACATTAATGATCTTAAATTTGTAAAAAAAAAAATAATAATAATAACAAAAATAATAAAAAATACAAATAAAATATTAAATAAAAATAGGGATAGTGCAGGAAGACTGCTTAAAAAAAAAATAAAAAAATGAATAATTAAAAATAAAAAATACTAATAAAAAAAATTAATAAAAACAAAAAAAATAAAAAATAAAATAAAAATAGGGATAGTGCAGAAAGACTGCTTAAAAAAAGGAAAAAAATAAAATAAAATAAAACAAAAAAGAAGATAATTCAAGTCCTTTTAACTCATATAGAAATTCCTTTTTTGCAGATATGGATTACGAGAATAAAATTACCCAGTGTTTAAAGTTGGTTGGAGAGTTGGAAGTTTTTACCTTTCGTACGAGATCCTGGTCGTCGATCATTCCCAGGTCTCGTCCGGCCGCCTGCGCGATTCTCTTCCCGGCCACTAGGTTTCCCACCATCACAGATGCAGGGCCCACTCCCACTACATCCAGGACAATACAAAATATTCAAATCTACTGAACAGACCTAGTGTATTTGACTTGTGTAAAGAAGTTTCTGACTGGTGTCTAATTATTTAGCATTGGGTGTGAAGATTGCAACAAGACCAAGACTAGTTCAAGATCTGGAGAAATGCAGAGGACAAATTTCCCTACAGAGACATTAAAGTGTACCTTACCTAAAAGCCCTGCTACTACTACTTTTGTTATTTATTTAATTTCATTACATCAGGGGTGTCAAACGGCCCGAGGGCCAGATCCGGCCCTCCAAGACCTTTAATCTGGCCCTTGGCTGATTTTCTACTAAAATATTTTAATTATATTTTAAAACCTGAAGACAGAATTTGCAATTTTTCGCACACCATTCACAGTCAAAACCTCTGATTTGCCCACAGACATGCAACTAGAATTTTCAACTAGATTTACAGTTACTACCTTTGTGAGCAGGTTTTCTCAGTAATGAACATTAATAAAACAAAGCTGCGCTCAAAGCTGAACACAAGCACTTGAATGACATTCTGAAGACAGCAGCTACTCAGGACATGGTGCCTGATATTGACACACTTGTGCAGGTTAAAAGATGCCAAGTTTCAGGAGCAAAAAGAAAGCATGACTAAATTCTATGAAATGCATACAAGTTAATGTTAAAACTTTGTGTTGAAATTGCATTTTTCTTCAAGTTTCAGGTTGTTCATAATATTATATTATTTTGTAAAAGAAAGAGTTCATCAATTAAAAAAGATTTCTGTAATAGATTTGCGTTTCTCTGCACAAATATTTGAATTTATTGTTATTTTTGGGGTTTATATGACATGAGTTTTCTGATCCGGCCCCTTTGGGATCAAAGTAGGTTGGATACGGCCCCCGGACCAAAATGAGTTTCACACCCCTGCGTTAGATGAAATGTCCTGTATGAGCATGTACAGACCTGGTTGCTTCTGCCTGGGCTTGGGCAGGTTGGTGACGCAGGTGTGGGGGCACATGAGGATGTTACAGGGGTGAAGACTTCCCTCCAGAAAAAACTGCTTCGTGTCCGAGATGTGGATCCCCCCGAGAGGAGTTTTGGGAAGAGTGTTCGCAGGGACCAGGGCCAGACAGTAGAGCCCCACCTGGTGAATGCTGTCAATGGCCTATAAGAGAGAAGAACAGGAAAAAAATACTATTATAAACTCTAGATACATGAGATTAATCTGTTTATTGCAGTACAGGTTCATGCAATAATCAGTATCACAAGAAATACAATGCAGCAGTACAAAGTTTTCCATCTGACAGAAATGTACTTATTTTTTTATTTTTTTTAAGTGAAATGTTAAAAAAAGGGAGATTTGAATCATGGTTCCCTCATTCTGTCATTCTTTAGCAATGCTTTGGTCTTTTCTAGTTTGTATTTTGACACGTGTGCTTAGTATGAACGAAGGCATGTACAGTTTTGTTTTAAATACTGAATACTGCATCTTTTTGTCATGTCTTTTAAAATTGTGTGGCAAATTTAATCACTTGCAATTAATTTTTTGTCCAAATTGGTGCAGCCCCAGAGCTTGGTGCAGTTTCTCTGTGGTTGTACCTGCAGTACTCGGCTCATCCACTGGAAGCTGTCCTCTTCACTGGCGTCTGGTCTCTGCTCTGCCACGATCACCACTCGCTCGTCGTAAAACACCGTCACCGAAAACACTGCAATCCTACACAACGGAATATACAGCAATGAGAACGATTCAACTTGAATGCACAAACATTAATGACAAAATCATTTAAGTACATATTGTATTTTGAGTGTTTCTAAAAAAAGTAGATCCTATTATTATATCGGTAGCTAAACAGTGAAATAAAAGAGCTTAAAAATATTTCCATCTTTCAGGCCATCTGCTTCTCACCACCTTAAGCACATGTGTCTTCTTTTAATGAGTTTTTTCCTCTCCTTTAACTCTTTCTTCCACTTTTCTACATCACTTTTCTGCGTCTCACTTCCTTTATCTCCATCTTGTTACATTCCACCGTTTTCTCATAACTACTATTTTTTGTGGGGGTTTATTTTATAAAAAAAAAATGCTGTCATTAATAATGGACATTACAGCTCCCTAATGTGTTACAAACATGCATTTTTGGCAACGATCTAATAAACAAACTATTTAAAAAGCACATATTTTTAGAAGTTCTGGAGAGAGGAGTAATAATATATCACATTATACTGCTAAGTAAGATTTACTACTGGTAAATCATTGTTCCAAATCATGATATACTCGGTTTACACCACTAGATGTCACCAGAGATATATAAGACTCTTCACATCAGTCACCTTCCTGACAAGCTACTGTCTTTTAAGATAAATATAATAAATTTTCTGGTTAGTAAAGATTGGTAATGTTATAAAACAGTAAAACACTTCCGAAGTAAGGGATGCACAATTGTGGAAAAAAAATGTAATTATGAGTATTGTGACGGTGATTACGATTCATTCTTTTCTGAGTACACAGTGCAAACAACTCCAGTACAAGAATCCTATACATTTCAGAACATGTTTGTAGATCTAGACTACTGTACATAGGGTTTTTCTATAAAGACAGAGTCATTTGTCTGTTGCAGAGAACATCTATTATTATTGCAGCCTTTTACCTTCCTCTGTAAACAGTTTTGACAGGCTCCACGGCCAGAGCAGTGGCCACGAGGTCGTCGGCGTTATGTCTCCTTCCACTGACCATCAGCAGACCCTCAATTTTACCCACCACAAAGATCAGACTGCCCTTTAAACAGAGAGGAAAATACTATTAGAATCAAGGCAAAATCCAAGACATCTTTAGACATTTAAGTTTACTTTTTACTCTTTACTCTGCTCTTACAGTACACTGTGTGGGAGAAGAGCAAAAAACAGTAACAGTTTGTTTTAGGTTAAATTTATCAACATGTAACTACTTACATTACATTTACAGTGGTACCCCTTAATGGTGCACTGTGCAACTTTTCTGGTGGAGGGTCCACTACTTGTCTCTATGGAGATGATATTGCAGTTCATCTCTGGTCCAGTGGACCCTCAGTATTCTGTATAGTTAAAAGTGACCAGTGCTCAGAGTGCACTTGCGCAGTCCGGTAATGCTGGTGGAGGTGCAGCGGAGCTCTGAATTTATTCAGCAGCCTTTTTACTTCATAAACATACATGTGGTCTCACATACGCAGAGCAAAGCTCCTGTTCTGAGTGTCAAACCGCAACAAAACCGCTCCGACACAGGAGTCACAATGAGACGTACTGTATGCAAATTAGCATAACTAGTTACATGTTAGTGTGTACCCTAAAATAAAGCGTTATCAGATTTACATATACATTTACATATATAATATAATCTATTTCCCTGTACTTACTGGTCCAACAAACCCAAGCAGTCCAGACCTCACAAATGGGATCTCTCCAATTGGAACTCCATTTGCATTGACTGGTATCACCTGGACAAGACAAACACCATCATTTGAATAAAAAACAGCATTAACACCGTTTAGATGTGATTGTGACCTCAAACCTCAAATGTGTTCTTGGTGAGTCCGGGCAGACCGTAGTACATGGTTCCTCCAGCACGAGAGTTTATGATGATTTCTCCGATCTCGTCTGTTTTACACAACTGAGGAGGTCCATCCGGTTTCACTATACACATCAGGGCTACGAGCAGGGAGAGGAAGAGTTCACTGTATGTAAAGTACATCATCATTTTACCACCAAATGAAGCTGACTGTTCCATCATGTAATAGTATGTTCTTGTACTTTTTAAAAAGGGGAACACACACACACAAAAACACTAAAAAACGTAAAACTGGAACAAAACAAAATTTGCGCAGCTGTGGCTACAGAAGTATCATATCAGTACCAACTACAGAATGAATAATGGCACACTGTAGAACTTTGAGGGGCAAGCCTATGAAGTTCATTAAGTGTCTCCAATTGTAATCTCATTACAGAAAAAAACATGGTCGCTTATGAGTAAAAAAGAAAAGAACTGATTCTACAAAATCTATGAGAATCACTAGAATGTGTTAATCGGGGGTAAAAATGTGTGCTTGACTGATGCACTGTATCATCTGGTTCCAGACTCTCCTGTATTCAAACAGAAATAAGAAGAGACTGACTCCAGACAAGAGCAACATAAACCTCTCATTATTAGAAACTGTTGGATGCCCATCCCCTTTTCCTCTCTCCTCATTCTCCACTCCCTCCTCCCTCCCTCCTCTCCTCTCTCCTCCTCCTCTCCTCTCTCACCTCCGGGCATCACATGGCCCACGTCCTGAACAGTGAGGGCAGAGTTCTTGTCCTCTGTATTGACTCGGATCACACCATGACTGAGGCCGGTCATAGAGAGGATGGCCCGAGCGGGGAGGGGGGCACCAGGTACACCCGGTCTGAAAACATAAAACACATCACAGGTTAACGTCTACTGTAACTGATTTTACTGACAAGCCTCGCACATTTTAAGAATTGACAAAAAGAAACTAATACATGAATCACATTACAGAACATGTTCATACAGATCTAAACTACAGGGTTAGCAGTTTTTAATGTAGAATAACGGAGAAGATTAGCAAATTGCAGCCTTTGCAATTTGCTAAATGAATCCATTCAAACAGTGATATCGATTGTGACAAATCTTGTCGCTCTACCACCACATGATTACATGATCACAGAAAAAAAAGACAGACACAAGCAACCGTGACCCTCTCTCCGCTCTCCCACGTGCTGATGCTGCCATCTGCTCCACACCTCATACAATGAACTCAAACAACAAGAAATATGGAAATGAAAGCAAAGTGTGGCATGATTTGTTCTCTATCAATGACTGAATCTTGAACCTTTGAGAAAAAGCCAGTCACTGTAAAAGTAACAACAAGATTTCACTAGAGTCATCAGTGTATCATAGAGCAAGTTTCAAAGGCAGCTCATTAAGAGTAGACTGATTACAGCACCAGACCAACTATGGCGCTGACTTGACTCATAAAACTAGAGACACTTAAGTGTCTGGTCCACAACTACTTAGACTTAGTAGCTCACATATCACATTAGAATAACAAAGAGAAAAAAATTATATCAATGGTAATAATAACTTCTAAACTAGATGTTAGTTAAATTGTTCACTATTTTGATTTAATGAAACATTAAGCAGACTTTCTCAAATTGGTAGTTTCTTATGCTGATTGTACCACAGGTTTTTTTATTGTGTCTATCATGTTGCATATTGTATCTATAGTCCACTTTTTACAAGTCAGATTTTTTTGTAATTGTGTATGTCTATGGAGCCATCTATACGTATATCCTGTATTAAAAGCAGACAGTTAAATGAGGATACAGACATAAATATAGGAGAGCAGTAGACAGTTAAACCAGGACATAGACATAATACATGCAGTAGAGTGGACTGACCTGCGGATGGCGACAGTGAGAGCCTCTGGAGACGCTGCACAGGGACAGATCACCTCCGGCTTCAGCCCATGAGACTGGAACACATTTAAGAAGGCATCGCACGAAGACACAGACCCTGCAAAAAACATCATTTGAAATGTTCAATCATTTCCTCATAGTTAATGGTCAATATTTATTCTAATTCATAGTATAGATTAAATACAGGTTCTCTTCCAACAAACAATGTATATATGTAGTTAGACTCACATGGATTAGCTCCATCGGCCACTATGAGCATCCTGAGTGAGGTGAAGCTGGTGTCACGCTGTTCTCTGTGCGCCATCATGGCCCAGTGCAGGTCCCGGCACTTCACCAGAGCCACGCGCGCTGGAAACACACATCATAGAAAAAGTTTCTTAGTTATCAGTTCAAACAGGATTCATTTTTCATTAATTTTTCCTCTCTTCATAGACTGCAGCACATTGTGAGCTCTGAGAAGATGATCTGCTGCAGCCTCCATCTCTCCAGGACCTACACGTCTCCAGGACTCTAATCCTCCAGCTGAGGTAGTCCTGACCAAACTGAGCTCAACATCTGAATATGGATCACTGACCACTTGCCCCAAAGCCACTGAACTGATCAAATGCAGAAGACTAACTCTTAAACAGGATCAATAAAGTTTACCTTACACCAATCTGAGGTATGTGTACCAGTGGAGGTAAGACAAAGTAAGATAAGGAGAGACAAATACTAGTATATTCCTTTCCTTTTGTGTTAATCATCACTTTGAACTACCTTATTTGTGGTTTAGTGCCATATTTGAACTTGGGTAAACCATTTCAGGCCATTTAAACTAGGCCTAATGAAGTCCTGGTTTAGATCTGACGGTACTTGGAAAGCCAAATATTATCATAAGGTGTGTAACATGGAATGAAACGTTTAAGAAGTGAAGTGAAGTGTGGGAGGGGACTGGAAATGTAAAAGCTTTACTTCTTTCATCCCCTTTTCAAATCTTGAGTGTTCGTATCTGCACCTGTATTGTTATGTTGTTCTGTGAATTGTATGTGCAGATTTGAACTAACTAACTAACTAACTAAGAGCCACTGAACCCCTGATGATAAGGTTCTAGCAGTGTACCCACCTCTGTGTATGTGGACCCTCTGGACCCAGGACAGAGGACAGGCCTTCATCACAGCATAAGGAACACTGATGGTATGGATTCTGTTCATCACAGCCTGAACAAAAATATGACAAAAATACAGTTAAAATTAAAATATAGGAACACTTCACTCAACAATGATTCTTGCTTTTACAAATAGTTCTTAAATCACATACCATCTTAACATAGTTTCATTTCAGTATAGTATTTTTGTATCAGGGTTGTGTGTTAATTGTGATGGACATAGGTAAGGTACAAGATGAATATATATAAAATAATACAATACATGTTTGTTACTGTAATCTTTGTGTTATTGTAGATAAATCAGAACAAGAATAACTCCTGAACTCCCTAAACTATCTTAAATCACATTAAGTTTATTCGGTCATTTTGCAGCACTACAAAACAAAACAAAACATAGACTACAACCCCATGGATCATGAGCGAAAAGGTTTAGGTTAAAGTAAAAATATTTATAACGCCAAACCCTATAAAACAATGACAGAATTCCAAGAAAGAACAGCAAGGTTGCATTTACAATTTCACTTACAAGTTACTCTATATATAAGAGACAGAATATAAATGAAAACAAACTAAATGTAATGCATATTTCATTCATTCCAGAGCTCTAGATCTTTCAAAACATAACTTACTGTCAGAACTCCATGCCAAAGTCCCATTTCCTTTTTAAAATCCAACACGTTCACCATCGTTTCTCCTTTATATCAACACAGGAAAAAATAAAAACATTAACAACAAACATAAAATGACTTTAAAGATGCACTATATAACTTTGCCACCTGTTTGACAATAAGCATATGGGTCCGGTCAATCAGTAACAGAGGGAAACGGGCAGATTTTTTACATTCAAATAGCTCTTATTCAGAAACTAGAGGGACTATTGAAATACGTAAAGTATTAGAATGTAGGAAAGAGTTAACACTCCAACAGGGTAAAGTTAACCCTGCGATATTCTTTCAAGTTGTTGACAAAAAATAAAAAACTAATGTCGGTAACGGAGGGAATGAAATATGCAGCACTTTTTGGGCAATAAATACAAACAGTGATAACTAGCGGTTCTCACTTACATATCCTTAACAAACTGGTTTGAATATTGCTTCATATAGTTTTCTACCATATGGTACAAGATTAGGTTGAAAAACCTCTTACTTTTTGAGTAATGAGATTTTTTATTAAGAAAGGTCTTGGTAACAGAGGGAAAAGTAACAGAGGGAAAATTGTGCAAGCAAGTAGAAGGTGCATGATTTTGCATCATTTGTCAGCTTTTTTTTCCCAATACTTTAATATTACTTCAAAATGAAAGGTAACTATTTCTACAAAATATGTCAGTCTTTCCAAGCTAATTTTTATTATTTTAAATACATTTTTTTTGAAAAATCATGTTCCTTCATCAACAGTTTAAAGATTGAATAACACAAGATATGATGAAATACATCCATTTATTTACATGATTTGCAGGTCTTTGAAATTTGGGAAATAATTTTTGTTCCATGTTGCATACATGCTCTGTTTAAAACGTATGTAACTTTAGAATCAAAAATGGTACAGAAAAAAGGTAAACAGTTTAATAAACTAGAGTACATATGCTATCTGTTGAATACATTTTTATATCAGATGGATTAACTTGAATTTTTGGCCTTGCTGCATACTTCTGCTTGACGGGGCCCATATCTATCTGGCACAAATAACTTGGAAAAACATGCATGTTTATTGTGAGCAGGATTGCCTCTCTGCAGATCTGACCTGTAACTTGGTCTGTCAGAGTCACCTGCTTGTCTCCATGGAGATAGATAAGATGAATGTTAAACTGTGGAACATACTAGGGAATAACAATAAAACCTCCATGGAGACGAGGAGGTTGCAGTGCATCCACCCAAAAAGTTCCGTAGTGCATGTTTTCGTACATGTAAACATTTTTCTTTTCCTGTGATGTCTCTCACCTTCGCAGTAGTTACAGGCCTGAGTCAGAGCCTGGCAATGCGTCAACATGGCCACTTTAGAAACAGCTACGCCAACCACTGTGCCGTCTTTACTCGCCTTGTACTGAAACATACAGATAATCAATTATTACCAACTGAAAACAACATTCTAAACTTTTTAACTTCACTTCTATGTCTTTGGAGGGGCACTGCAGCCAAGTGGTTAAATCTGTTTTTATCAGCTTCGGAACATCACTAAACTCAGACCAATTTTATCAAATGCTGATCTTGAAATGATTGTTCACTCTTTTATTTAATCTCGTTTAGATTATTGTAATTCTCTTTTTACTTGTTTTAATGCTTCTGCACTTAAGCGGCCGCAACCTGCACAGAATGCAGCTGCAAGGTTTTTAACAGGAGTAAACAGGCGAACTCACATTACACCTGTTTTATTTTCACTGCACTGGCTCCTGTTAAGTTCTGTGTTGATTTTAAAATTTTGGTTTTAACTTACAGAGTGTTAAATGGACAGGCATCCCAGTACATCAGTGAATTACTGCGCCCCTACTCCACAGGCCACACCCTCCGGTCCACTGTTCTTGTTTATGTAGTTTTTATGTAGTTTTTTGCTCTGTAAAGCACTTTGTGAAAGGTGCTATATAAATAAAGATTTACCTACTTTACTTTCTTCCCCATACTTTAAAGAGGCCATTTTACACTTTTTCTGATCTATGTTATAATGTTGTTTTCTCATCAAATCCTGGAGTTATGTTTTGTTTCATTCACACATTGTTGGAAAGCTTCAAGGGCATGGTTCACAGTAAAAAAAGAAGCATGTGTCTTACAGCTGTGCTTCAACAAACATGTGTAGTCAAATGTGCAAAATCCAACAATGGAACACATTGGAATCACCTGTTAAAGAGATAAATAACAGAGCTTTTGTTTGAAAATCTCTGCTGAGACTGGAGCTCAGTCACAGAACTTAAGACTCGTAATCAAAAGGTCTCTGATTAACACACAAAACCTACATATTTAGACTGAGTTTGTATCTGAAACAGAGAACACTGTTCTATTTCGTGATGTCATGTGGTAATATAGGAAGTGCTCCACTGTGTTTTTAAACTCCATAGACCTTCAGCAGAATCATATGAATAATTTCAGCTCTGGAATTGCCAATCTCTACTGAATGAAAGATAAAAAGCGTCAGCGTAAATGAACGATTTCAACTAGTATATCAGAAAAAGGAGTGGCATTATTTATTAACATTTCTTTCTGGATATTTCTTTCCAAAATGTGAATTGCCAGTGAAATTATAAAGGGCCGTGCTCAACCAAAGATCTGCTAATGGAACATTATCACGCTTCCGGGTTTTGTGGGCGGGGTTTGTCTAGTTTGTGCAATTCCACTTCCGGCGCAACAACAACAATGGCTCAAACAACGGCTAGATGTCACTGCTCTTTTCAAATTATGAATTAATCAACACGATCAATGAATATTCTTTGTAAATACTTTGTAATAGCAAAAGAAACTAGAAAAACACTTAGAGAGCGCAGACCTCCGCCAAGGACTACCCCCATTTTTTATATAAATTGCGATAAAATCAGTCTTCTGGATCAGATCCGGATCAGCCTTTGGAATATGAAAGAGGATCCCATTGTCCATCCCTGAGTCAAATTTCATGGGGTTTGGTTAATAATTAACCGAGATATTGAGAAACAAAATTTTTGGCCCCATTTACCACAATGTTAACTAAAATTTCAAAGTGATCCAGAATCCAGGATTTCTACCGGATCACCCCCAAAATGAAATCAGTTCTTCCTTTTCACATTTCCAACAAATCCTGAAAATTTCATCAAAATCGGCCCATAACTTTTTGAGTTATGTTGCTAACAGCAAACAAACAAACAGACAAACGCCGGCAAAAACATAACCTCCTTGGCGGAGGTAATTACTGGGACCAGTTAAAGCCCACAGCGGGAGCAGGACAAGTGTAACATAGACACAAAAAGGAGCCAAAAAGTCCGCTTCAAACAGGTGTTCTCATAGCATCGTAAAGTCCATTGAAGTCCGAAACGTCTCGGTGTTTTGAGAAAACAAAACACCGAGAAAGCCTGGTTGAAGTGGACTTTTTTCTCCTTTACGTGCTAGCAAAAGAGTCACTTGTATGCCGACGTTAGCTGGCTGAAACTGAGAGGCGAACGTTCTTCCTCTCAGAATACAAATGACATGGGTGAATTTACTTAGCCTCTTTAAAAATTAATACTCTTGCTTTTGTTGGGTATGTTGGGTAAACGCCTTATATCCATACACCAAACTGACGTTAGCATAAGCTAACCTACCTGTTCTAAAGCATAGGCAACCCCTGTCCCGACAAACAGTCACTCCGACACCCCCCACTCTGTCATACCGTCATTTCGACAACCCTCCACCCCGACATGCGCCCGTTCCGACACCGATGAACCAGGACTAAACCAGGACTAATCTTGAATGAGAGAGAGAAAAAGAGAGAGAACCGCCATCCCGTATTGGAGGGTATTTAGCGTGCTCTGTGCCATTAGAGCGCGCAGAGCTTTACGCACGCTGCTCTGTTGGCAGGAGAGGGGGCCACATAGGCCTGACCTCCTGCAGGTGAGAGCGCGGTGGAGGTGCCAGGTTAACGAGTGCGTAAAAGTCCGCAACTTTAAGTGCGCGCACGAGGAGAATGAGCGCTGCAGCCACCTCTTTATAAACTCTTATGAGTTTATAAACTCTTATGAGTTTATAAACTCTTATGAGTTTATAATGGACCGACGCATTTCTGGGTCCCTGTGTAAGCCGCTCTGTCCTCTATGACCAGGTATAATTCTAATCTTCTAGCCCAGGGGTCGGCAACCCGCGGCTCCGGAGCCGCATGCGGCTCTTTAGCACTCCCATAGTGGCTCCCTGGAGCTTTTTCAAAAATGAGTGAAAATGGAAAAGGAATGATTTTTTTGTTGTTGTTTTAATATGGTTTCTTTAGGGGTAAAACCCTCGTTCATTTCTGGTCATGGATCTGATCCATCAGCTGTGTGTGCAAACGCAAACATAGGAAAAGTGTTTCAGCAGAACAAACAGATGAGCTGAAGCGGGGGGTGGTGTCCGGTGCCTCCACCTGAGAAGCGTTTTCCCCGAAAAAAAAAAAAAACAAAAAAAACACGTGCGCAGACGGACGCTCAGAACAACATATAATGAACCAAACTGGATTCATGCTTCTGTCCGGATGCTTTGCACCACCTCGGAACCAGGCCGCGGTCGAGCGTGGAGGACCGGAGCAGCCCGGACCTGTAGTCCACAGCGCATTCTCGCTTTTCCCGCACAGAACCAGCGCACAGAGGACGACGCGGAACCGCTCGGACCCAGTCCTTTGCACGCTGGTCTTGCTCGCCCCCATCTGGAACCAGGACACGGAGGACGAAACCTCCGGACAATCTGACCAACACTGGACCCCCAGCCCCGTCTTGAGGAGCTGCGCGCTGACTGCTCCCGTGTATTTTGCGCTGCTGCCCGAGCTCAGAGCTTCTGCTCCGGGCTGATGGTTGCGTACAAAGTTCTACATGCTGCTGTTTTCTGAGTGCTCCTGTGCACGATCAGAAGAAATGCGACTGCTGCTCTGAATACTTCCATCATCGTCGTCAAAGCAACAGGTAAACGTCGGTCTACAGACGGCGCACCGAGTATGAGAGGGTCGCAAAAGGCCATTTCTGTCCATATTAATATTGTCTGTAGCTACTGTAGAGAAAAAGCCAATTTGCTTTAGTTTATTTTTACAGAGAAGACATTGAACTTTGTGCCAGTTTGTTTCATGTAGATAGGCCCAGTAATTACAGAGATATGAACCATAAACCAGGTCAACCAGCTTATTATTAATTTATTTATTATCAGTTGTGAGCCTATTCCCTCCTGCTGTGACCTTACCTCTATATATGCAGTGTCTGTATTGGCAGTGGGGATGTGCGGCTGCCAGTCTTTCCCAGGTTTAGTCAAGTATTTGGAGTCTGTCACCACCCACTTCATTCTTGGCCAACCTTCAAAATATATATTAAAAAAATATGTAAAGGAAAGTAGCAATTACATGAGCTATGTAGATTCGAGGGTATATGTGTACTTGTATCGTACCTTTAAACTGCAGTATTTCTCCCGTTGGGGTTTTGGGCAGACCCTTCAGACAGATCTCACTGGTCAAAGCCAAACCAACGCCACAGCTGCCCAGAAGGAAGCCCAGCTGACTGATGCCTGCGTCCTGAAACAAATGATATATAGATTTATAAATACCATTCTTTTCTTTTTTTTTTTACTTTATTTTTGTATGTGTTTAAAAAAATTTGATAGAACAAAACAAAACAAAACAAAAATGCAGACCACAATAAAATTCAATCATATTTAGAGCATCTAGTGTGAGCAACCCCTGAGTAAAATAATAATTATCTAACCTCACAGTATTAGCATGTCCAAACCAAGATACTAATTGTTACAGGCCCCGGCCCTTTGATATTTGTTAAGAGTGCTCCCGTTCTTCTCTATTTGCTTTTGTGTGTGTATGATGCGCTCGGTTCGCGAGCCCTGGACCCGGATGCACGGGAGCACCAGACGCCGGACGGAGGCTGGCGTCGCATCGTGTCGAGGATTGGCCGGTCACCCCTCCACCCCCACCAATCTGCGGATGCCACCTGTGGGAGCGGGGGTTTAAAAAGGACAGTCTTCCACCTGCTCGGAGCGGCTGGATCCCTGCGGCCAGCTCGCCCTTTTGTTTGATTTTTTTGGTTGTCTCATTTTGTGTTTTGTTATATTGCTGGCTGTTGCCTCCGTTAGTTCTTTGAGACACCTTTTGTTCGCAGTACAACTTTAGTTAGATTTTGTTACATTGTACTTAGTTAGGGCTCCTTAGTTTAGTAGACTATTTTGTTGAAATCCTTTTTATTTTCTCCTCAAAAAACCTGTTTTTTTGTTCTTTTCCTAAACTGTAAATAATAAATGCACCATTTTTAGTTAAACCTTAAACATCCTGGTTTTATTGTTACTTCCCTTTCTCCCCTAGCAAAGGGGACGTAACACAAATACACTGTCAAATACTTGTGTTTTGTTGTAATCGGCCCATTTCCTCCAATATCTGTTACATTTAGCAGTAGAAAGTCTCAATGAAAATGTCAGTCTCTCCATGTCATAAATGTCATTAACTACTTTGATCCAGTCAGTAAATACAGGTGCATCTTTACACAACCATTTCCTGGTAATGGCTTTCTTTGCTCCAGCCAACAGTACTGACAAAAAATATTTATCTGATTTCTGTGTTCCACATGCAATATTACAGAAAACTACTTCAGTAAATCCCAATGACAGGTCTAATCTGAATATACTTTGAAAAGCTTTTATCACCATCGTCCTGTAGGGTGCAATCTTAGTACAAAGTATGTGAAAATGCCCTGCTTTGACATTACCACAGTCTTTCCAACACTGAGCCCTATCTGGGTCATTACTCTGCTTACTCTTAATGTAGGGTGTAACAAAGAAACATACAATAGTTTTCCATTATAAATACCATTCTAATTCTACTCTATTTACTCTACTCTAAATGTACAGTATTTTTTCATTTACCGACCTTTCGAGACAGCGGGACTTCTATTGGCACAGGGATGACTTCAGCCAGTAGACAGCCATAAAAGGCCACCCAGAACATACCCGGGTCACTGTTAGGGTACACCAGCGCCACCTACAGGACACAGAGATGTATTCGTTAGTCCTTATAGTATTGTCAGTATTTGTTTAAAGATCCTATATTACGCAAAATTGACACTTGTGAGTTTTAAGCTACAGACTGTTACCTCATCAAAAACATATCTGGAGTTGAGTTTTGATTCATTCACACATGTCTAAGTAATCCTTTATTATTAGTCTGTCTATATCCAGTGTTGGGAGTAACGCGTTATAAAAGTAACAAATTACTGTAATGTGTTGCTTTTTGCTGTAACGCAGTAATGTGGCATTACAGGGAAAACAATTGTAATATTTTACTTGGTACAAATGTCAGTAGCACGCATTACAATGCATTCTTTAACCTGGATTGAAGTGGTGGGTTTTTCTTCATACAAATTTGCTAAAATCATCGCGATATCAGCAGCGGTGAAAAAGCTGTGAGATGCGCCCACGTAGACTTGTCGGGTGACCGCGAGGTAAAGGACCGACGCAGAACTCTGCTCCGACCTGGTTCAGTCCTGGTTTAGTCCTCGTTTAATCCTGGTTCAGTTCTGGTTCAGTCCTGGTTTAGTCCTGGTTCAGTCCATATACAGCACAAAAGTTCAGCATCTTCACAGTTAGAGTGAGAGTAACCTAAATGTAATGCAATAGTAATATAATGCCTTACATTTTAAATGCAGTAATATTGTAATGTAACGAATTACTTTGAAATGACAGTAACAAGTAATAAATAACACATTACAGTTTTGAAGTAACTTGCCCAACAGTGTTTATATCTCCATCTCCAAAGCAAAAATGCTCTGTTTACCTTGTGATATCATGAAGTAGTAGTTTTCAAGTTAACAGTTCTCCTTCAACCTTTAGTTCACTAGAAACTGACAATGACAGAACTTAAATTATTCAAATAATTCTAGTGAAGGCATGTGGATCTTAAAAACACAGCTGAGCACACCTTGTATTACCACATGACATCATAAGTTAGAAAAGAGTGTTTTCCTTTTGGGAGAAGAAATCACAGGGTTTGTGTGTTAAATGTGAAAATGAAACAAAACACAAAGTATGTTTTTGATGAGGAAAAACACAGTAAAATAAATCAGATCAAATACATTATCAATAGAGGACCTAAAACAAAGTTTTTTCCCATCCAAATTTTCATACACTGCAAAAACATAAACCTAACCAAGTTAAGATGACTTGTATTAAGAAAGTTTTATCATGACTTGAGTAAATTTCACTTGACAAGTACAATTATCTGCCAATGGAAAGACTTTTTGTACTTAAAATATAAAAACATCTTACTACAGTTTAGGATGACCAAACATCTGTTTTTCCACGGACATGTTCGTTTTTTGCGTCTTGTCCTGGGCATCCGGGTTTTTTTTTTTTTTTTTAAGTGATGGAAATGTCCGGGTTTTCATTACCTTTCATTGGGGCCATTAAATTGAGCGTCTCTCGTAGCTCTCTGTAACTCAGAAGGAGCGAGCAGACACAAACAGTCAGAAATGCGCTTTTAACAATGAAATTCTCCGTTTCTGTCCTGGTTGGGACAAGTGGGAGTCCATATCCATAGGTTGCGAGGTGAGACTAGCTCAATGTCGAGGCTTCACCCCCCAACCCCGGTAATGTGTCCGGGTTTTCACAAACGGAAATATGGTCACCCTACTGCAATTGAATAAAAAAAAACAAAACAACTTTTTGCACATAGAATAAGAAACAAAATCTAATCATACTTACTCCACTGAGGGATCATTTTACATGTCAAGATACATCTACTCAAATAGTAAGTAAAATGGTGTTAATTTAAGATATTTTAATGTAGCTAGATAGTGTTTTTTGCAGTGTGTCTCTTCATGTGTCAGTTTTGTCTCACAAGATCTCGTGGTAGGAGATCTTGTCCCATCCCCAATAGATTAGTATGTTTCTTTGATAATACAAAGTCAGACAGTTTGAATGAGTTGTCCCATTGTTAGAGTTGTAGTAAAGCCAACTGCACAGATTTTCTTTGCTTGTGAGATCAGATTGTTAGTATTGCACTATGCTGCCCCCTGCTGTCTCACCCTGTCGCCAGGTTTGAGAATCTGCTCGTTCTTGGTGCCCAGTTTGTGCAGAAGTGTGTAGGCCAACTTCACACTGCGACTCCACAGCTTTCCTAAAACAGACCACAACAAGACAATAACAATCAGCAGGGCCACGGGCTAAATAAAGACCACAAACTGGAGAGGATAAATGTGTTTGTAGAATGAATTAAGCTATCCCTGCACAGAGCCAACAGAGCAGACCAAATACTGATGCCACAATAGCCATTCTTGTCATTAAAGCCTCCACTGTGTAACTTTTTCTTTTCTTACCGTATGTGAGCGTATACAGAGGTTTCCCGGTGATGTCCAGAGCTGTAAGTGCAGGACTCTTCCCCTGGGTGGCGCCCCATCGAGCCAGAGCGGCCTGAAGAGCAGGAGGCCAGTTACTCACCACCCCCAGAGGCTCCCCCTTCACTGGGATGATCTGTCTGCCCTCGGGCTTCGGCGTGTTGGGGTCTGGCTGGGGCACTGGAAGAGGGAGAGACGCAAAACATCAACATATAATTCATTTGTCAAAAGCTGAAAAGTAATTGCCTATTTTCAGTTTATTTTTGAGTGGTACAAAATCACAACAATGTTGTGTATAAATATGAGCCAGTGATTGAATATGGTATTTAAATATGTGAATAATGAACGGTGCAAAAGTGGTAGTAGTTTGATGTGATGTAATCCACAGCTACCTGTCGAGAACAGTGGGCACAGTGCCACGCTCAGGGGTCCATCTCCAAGGTCTTGAGGTCAGGACAACCTTAGCTGGAGGTTATATTTGTACATATTTTAAGTTGATGGAGAAAAGCCGAGTGCCAGAAGGAAACCCACACAGAAAGGCCCAGGAAACCCAGAAACTTCTCGCTGTGAGGCAGGAGTGCTAGCCACTCAGCCACCGTGCCGAAATTAGTTCTACCGTATTTTTCGGACTTTTGCACTTTTTTCCATGGTTTGGATGGTTCAGCAACTTATTCTCTGGTGTGACTTATATATTAAAATGTTCAGACTGACAGTCATGAGAGGCTCTAGGCTTGTGTCAGTATCTGCTGCTTCTATTACTCCTGTACCGCTGTCACTTCACTCTACTGTGCATGTCTCCTGTAGAAAAAGCCGCTGTCTTGTTACAAGTATTGAAATATGCAGCAGAAAACGATAATCGAGCAGCAGAAAGAAAGTTTGGAGCGAGCGAGAAACTTGTGAGGGACTGGTGGAAAGCGGGGATGGAAAACATAGCTTCACGGGAACCGGAAGGATACGCCATGTAAGTTTCCTGGAAGTCACTGGATGAATCGACAAAGCCTGAACTTCAGTGACAACTGAAACCATCCTGTCAGGATTCAGAAAGGCTGGAATAATTCTAACTGATGCCGAGTCTGATGACAGCTACACAGAAGAGGAAGCGGCACTCCGTTTACATCATGGATCTATGGTTTATCTCCGGAGGTCGTGCAGAAGTGACACCGAGGACAAAGAACTCAATGGATTTAGTGATTTGGAGTGAGATCATGAGTTTGGTAAACTTCTGTTCTTTTCTTTATGCTATAATTATCTGAAGAACTGTTCATATGTGACGTTAACATATTAACGTCTGTTCAGCCTGTTGTTCTCTGTTCTGTTGTTATTACTGGAACTTGACTTTCAACATGAAATGTCAGTTCCTGGTCTCTGATTTTATATTATTTATTATTATATTATTTCCCCAAAAAGTGCGACTTATATATGTTTTTTCTTCTACATTGCACATTTTTTGGCTGGTGCCACTTATACTTATATAGCGACTTAAAGTTCGGAAAATGCAGAAATCATTTTCTAATCTCTAACCTAATCAATTTAAAACAGTTCTGAAGAACATTTGAAGACTGACTGGTTGAAGAATCCCAACAGCAGAACAAATTGAGAATTCAAACTTTTGTTACATCCAGTTAAAAAAAACTCACCAACATATTTCCCTCTGGTTTGTTTGGGCGCTTCAGCTTTGGCTCTGCCCAAACCACAACGATGCTCTGTGATTGGCTTGAAACACTGGTTACCCAAGCAGTGATTCTCGTGAGTTTGTGAACTCACAAATATCACCATCCAAGTTCATCCATTCCAGGTTATAAGGACCCCACACCAAACACAAAATATCCATGTTGTTAACAACTCACCTTCCACTATCTCCTCTGAGTCGTCTGTAAAGAATTCACTGAGTTCGGGTCTCTTTGGTCTTTTCAAAGTGTTCAGGAGCTGCTGGATTTTAGTGGAAACACGACTGTTCACCGGGACTCCTGTAAAAATACAAAACATGAATATTAAACCAAGCTACGGACAAAATATTATAATGTTTCACTGTTGGACAATCTTAGCCTGGCCAGTCAGACCCTTCACTTTCTGCAGTGACACGGAGTCTGAACTCTTCCCAGTCTGATCTTAACAATCACTATTGGATTGGTTTAATTGTAGTGGCCAGGCTAATTCAGTCTGCTACTCCTCATCCCAAAATAAAACATCAGTCTGATCTTCTATTGTGCTTAAAGTGCATAGAACAAGTTAGACTCTCTTTACTAAAAGGTGGTGAAATGATTTGATTTTGATTACATGTTTCCTAATCTCCTGCTGTCCTTGAACTTTGTGTTGCAACATTGTAATTTCCCCATTTTAGAATAAATAAAGGCAACTTATCTTCCCTCATCCTGTTAAAAACTACAATTTACAACATATTTCATTCCACCAGTCTAAGTAATATAAAAAAAAAAAGCTCAAAAACCTGTCAAATGCACTTTAAATTTGTAATATATTTTCAATGGGAATAAAAAGCAGCAAACTCGGAATAGACGTAGGAATACCAAGGTGTGGTTGGGGAAAAATTCTGGAAAATTGTAAGTGAAAGTTCATTCTTGGTGTGAATTTTGTGATATATTTTGGCATTCACGATGAACAATAGGAAAAACGAGGGACCAAGACATGAGGTTTTTGACAATATACATGATAAATAGGCTTACTCTGCAGATTACCACGAGCTATAAAACATTGAGAAGAAAAGAAGTAGTGACATTTGGTTAATAAAAGAATTTTCGATTGGAAATGTATAGAAATTCCTGTCAAATGTTGTAGTAAATTTGGATTTTTGAGTTTACCATCGGCGGTTTCCATCATACTGGAGCGACTCTGGCCTCGGCTCATTCCTCGGACGGTGGCGATGGACGGTCGGTCGACGCGTGGCCCTCTGGTGGTCGTGGGGGGAACTACAGCGGTCACATCTGGAGGGGGGGCACTGTTTTCAGGTGGAGCTAAAAAGTAAAGAAAAGTCAGTGAAGGTAATTATACAGATTGTTTTCTCATACAAATAAACCATATATTCAATGTCCCTCCTCCATACCACATGTAATTTTTTGAGAGAGACAGCAAATTCAACTGTTGTAGTTCCAGCTAAGTTTGTTTTTTTGGTCATATTGAGTTAAAACAAAGATTATATTGAAATGTAACGTGAGTAACTGAGCTTAAGACAGAGAAATGCCTCCAGTTAGCATTACACCTCCAGGGAATATTGGTGACAACAGCTGCAATGTATCATTTCCCATAGGTTCAATGTTTAATGTCTTGTAATGTTATGTAATGGCGTCTGTTGTTGGCTTATTGAAAGTGGAATGTTTTAATCGGCTATAGAACAACGTATGAAATGTAACTATTGTGTTAACTTTGTCATATTTATGTTGAAGCTGCTCACACACTGATTAACAGACACTGTCCTAATTCGAATAAAAAATGACTGAATGATCTTCTGACCGATCCTGGAGTGAGCGAGCATGTTGGTGATGGCGGCGGCGCTGGTGTCGTGGGGCTGGTACAGAGGCTGGTACTGGGGCTTGTACTGGGGCTGGGCCTGGGCGGGTTTGGGCTCTCCGTGGGACATGGTGGAGGAGGCGGAGGAGGAGGTGGAGGAGCCCTGAACAGAGCGGTTTATCCAGGCTTCAGGACTCTGCAAGGAGGATGGCACCTGGAAGTTTGACTGCAAAGAGAAACATGTGCATTACGTTTATGACTCGACTGTACAGAGAAGTGGACTAAGGGAGCGTGATGACACCCATAGTGCTCGAACTAACCAAAAGAAGCTCAACAAGGCTCGCAGTTATAGGAGCGAATTTGGAATCAAATTCCATATTAAGAATTCCGACCACAAGTATTATAGCAACCAACGAGCTAATCAGGAGCAGGACTGTAAAAGGCAACACCCCTTCCTGTCTGCACCACTGGTTTACCAAAGAGCGGGCACTGTCAATCAAATGCTAGTAGGATTAACTTTGGGGAATGAAGGAACCTGATTTCTCTGTTATTAATGTTCATATCTTGACTTACAGAAAAAATAGCAAAATAATCATATAGAGTGGATTAATACAAACACTTTAAGACCAAAATGATAAGCCTGACAGCAGCAGTTACAGAGAGATAGAAAGTGAATCGGAGAAAGGGTCTGAGTCAGACGCACGCCCATTCTCACTTCCTGTTTGGAATGTGGCGGCCAGCAGACTAGATATATCCATTTATATACTATCTATGTTTGAAACTAGCAGTAAGGAACATGTTTGAGCTTGAACTTTTAGCCTCATCATGAAAGAAAAATTCTAATCTGTCAACTGGAGAAGAGTTTTAGTGTGAAGACATTCGCTGCTCATTCAAGTGGCTCCTTCAGTTCTGGCCAAGTACTGGTGGTAAACTGTTTTATATCTGTCTGAGGGAGGAGCTCACCACTACCCCAAGTATCTTGGACAGTGTCAGGCAGTTGGTTTCCCATGATTCTTAGTAACTTATTTCCTGGACAAAAAGAGGTGACCCTGTCATTTATCATGATGAGAATAAATAAACAGTTGATTATAAGTCATTGTGAATGACTGTGTGCATGATGTGTTGTATTCAAATCAACAGAATGCTTTGGTTACACAGGCACACACAGGACTATGATGAAGGGATTAGTGAAATGATGTTTAGCAGTGAACTTCACCTGGAGCCCGGGGTGGACCTGAGGCATCGGAGCGGCTCCAGTCGACTGTCTGCGACTAGACGAGTCGTCTTCAGACCCAGAGGAGGAGTCTGAGAGAGAGAGTTCTGTTATTATAAAAGTACTAATTAAACAGCTCTAGACTGTCTCATAATGATCTATTGTGTTGTATTGTGAGTGAACCTGGAGGCGTGCGTGTGTTGATGGGAGACTGGACGTAGGTGGAGCGGCGCTTCGTGGGCATGGGCAGAGCCATCTTCTCCTCTTTGTGTTTGGCCAGAGCCGCCTGCACCGCCTCAGTGTGGATGTCTGCACAGACACAAGACAAACCCAGGTTACTTTAGATTAGACATGAACAAATACTGCAGAGTATTATATAGTACTTTTCCAGGCAAGAGTGATTGCTGTCGCCACAGCTGCCCTGGGGCAGACTGAGGGAATATATATATTATATTATACATATACTAGCCCCTCTGACCACCACCAATCACACAGCACATTCATACACAGGCAGGTGTCTTGCTCAAGGATACACCAGTTTGAGCCCATACACACTAAAATGTGTAAAAAAAAAAAAAAGATACAAGATACAAGAAAGATAGAAAAGATACTGTACAAACAAATATACTTTACACTTTACTTTTTATACTTTATTGTTTTGTATCATAATAACATAAAAGCACGACACATAAAAGCAGCATAAAGATCTGTGACGTGTTTATTTGCCCACACATGTGCAGCACTCACATGCACTCTCACGTGCACTATTAAAATATTTTATAATCTGTCATTTATAAAAGAACAACACTGTTTTCTACAGTGTATTTAAATCTATGCATTCATTTTCTCCAGTGTAAATGTGGCTTCTCTTAAAACTCTAATTAAACTCGTTACAACACTCATTATGATCATAGGTCTGGAAATACAATATTACTGCACAAACACATGCTGATAGGGTCTCATACAGTGACACATCACATCTGCCTGGCCCCACTGAAATCCATGTTAATAAAGCACGGGTCCATTGCACAGCAGTGTTACATAAGATCCAGATGAACTAATTACTCATGTCATCCTCCCTCTAACGGGCTGCTGAACCAGATAAGGACTGTCACGATGCTTGGCTTTAAAGGGTCTGTATTACGTTAAAATCTATGTTCTAATGTTGTTTCCTCATCACAAACAGACCTGGAGTTGTGTTTAGTTTCATTCACATGTTAAACACAAATCCAGCATTTTTAGGCTAAGTTCTTCTCTCAGACTGAGGACACTGTGTTGCACCTTGTGATGTCATGTGGTAACACACTGTGTTTTAAAACTCCAAACACCTTTATTAGATCATGTGCATAATTTCAGCCCTCAGAACAAATGCTGAAGATAAAGCATGTGTTTAAGCCTTGTTGAAACTTCTTTGCTTTCCAGTGCACTAGAAGATATTTCGTTGGCAATCTCAACTGAAAAAAGGCTCAAACAAAAAACTTATTCTTGTGTAAAGCAGTTTAACTGAAAATAAAAAAATAGTTGTTAAATTACCACCTAGTGCCATCACAAGGTGGAACTGAGTATTTTGACTCGACTGAAGTCCAATGGGACTCCGGGTTCAGACAAACTTCTGTTCGGGCTTGTGCCGGATTCACATCACACATGAGTGCATCAGCTGTTTCCTGTCTACAGTAAAACCAGTCGCTTTGAGACTCTTAAGTGTTCAAAGGTCAGAGGTCTGCACTTCTAGTTTAGATACAAGTCAAAACTGTTATTATTATTTGTGAAATGTGGTGCAAAACTTCAGATACATGATTTTTAAAGCATTAAAGATTTGAGATAAAGTCCACAGGAAGTAGAGTCTGCAGACACATGTGAACTACTTTCACCTTTTTACTTTTAAAGAACGCCTCAAACTAGATTAATAGAGCGGTTCTGTGGACTGGGGTCATTATTTGCGGAGGACAATTTCTATGGATCATGTGGATGAGATGCTGCACTTTAAATTTACTACTTTACAAGAGGTGAGGAGTAAAGTCTTCTCATTATTTTCACTCGTTTGTATTACAAACATTGTCATTAGTAGGCGTACGAGCATGTGCTGAACAACTGAAATTATTTTTAAAAAGAATAAACATTTACATGATCGAGAATAAATTAATTCACCCATTTACTTCGGAATGAAGTTTAATTCCGAATAATCATTTTCATGAGGAATTAAAGAAGATCAAGTTACACTAAATCCATTCACACTTAGAATGCATGTTTTACATTTTTTTCAAAATACTTTTAATTGAACAAATGCAAGATATGTCAGTATAATGCTATGCTTCACTTAACATACCAAAACATTTTCAACTATCAGAGCAGGGCACCTTTAACTTCACACTGAAAGCCCCTGTCTAGTCTGGGAATCAAACTTGAGACTTTCTTGAAGTGTAAAACCACAAGGTCACAGTTCTGTTGGTGTTTGATGTAAAAGGCTGAGGTGTTTTACATAGATCCATAATCGACGTGTCTGAAATGGTACAAAGAGAATTCTGCCACAGTTCTATCACAAAAATAAAAATGAATTAACTGTGAGTAGAACTGGTCAGTTGGAGTTCTACAGAGTGCTTTGTGACACTGTTGTTTTCTACTGCACCATTCCCAAAAGTGCTCATCATCACAAGGCTTTTTCCATTTCCTCCTCTCCCTCGCTCTCTCCTCTCAATCACCCTCTCTCTCCTTTCTCTCTCATCCCTGCCTCCTTTTTATCCATCTCTCTCTCTGTCTCAGATTTTCTCTCACCCCACTGCCAGTTTTTTCTATTTTATTTCTCTTCTCTCTCTCTCTTTTTTCTCTCTTTCTCCTCTCACTGCCCCCTTTCTCCTCTACCTCTCTTCTCTCCCTTTCACAACCTCTCTCCCTGTCTTTCTCTCTCTCCCTTCTTTTCTGTCTCTTGTAGTTCTCTTCTCTCTCTTTCCCTGTTCTCTATCAGTCTCTCTTTTCTCCTCTTCCTCAACCTGCTCTCTCTTTCTTCCTTCTCTCTCTCTTCTCTCCTCTCCCTCTTTCAACTCCAGCTCTCCCTGTATCTCTCATGTCTTTCACTCTATCCCTGTCTCCTTTTTTTTAAAATCAAACCCAACACTTCCTTTGTCTTTCTCCCACCTCTCTCTCAGTCCTCTTTCACTTTTTCCATATCTTTTATTTCTCTTCTCTCTCTTTTCCCTCCTCTCTATCAGTCTAGCTCCCTGTCTCTTTTCCTCCTCCTCTCTTTCTCTGCCCTCTCTCTTCCTTCTTTCGCTCTTTCTCCTACCTCTTTCTGAGCTCTCTCCCACGCTTTCAGTCTCTCTCTTTCCCTGCTCTCTATCAGTCCTCTCTCCCTCTCTCTTCCCCCTCCACTCTCTCGCCTCTCTTCTTTTACCCACTCTCTTCCATCTTTCTCCACTCTACCTCCCTCTCTTCTCTGCCTCTTTCACCCCCTCTCTCTCTGTCCCTTTCAACTCCCCTCTCTTCTTCTCCCTCTCTCTGTCTCATCTCTTTCACTCTCTCTCTCCTCCCAGCTCTCTCTCCTCTACCTCTCTTCTCTCCCTTTCACACCCTCTCTTCCTGTCTTTCTCTCTCTACCACTCTTTTCTGTCTCTTAAAGTTCTCTTCTCTCTCTTTCCCTGCTCCCTATCAGTCTCTCTCTTTTCCCTCCTCACTATCAGTCTAACACTCCTGTCTCTCTTCCTCCTCCGCTCTCACGTCTCTTTCTCTATGCCCTCTCTCTTCCTTCTTTCTCCTACCTCTCTCACAGCTCTCTCCCATGCTTTCAGTCTCTTGTATTTCTCTTCTCTCTCTTTTCCTGCTCTCTATCAGTTTCTCCCTCTCTCTTCTTCCCCCTCCGCTCTCTCTCTTCTCTTCCTCTACCCACTCTCTCTTCCTTCTTTCTCTCTCCACCCCCTCTCTCTCTAACCCTTTCAACTCCCCTCTCTTCTTCTCCATCGCTCTCTGTATCTCTCATCTCTTTCACTCTATCCCTGTCTCTTTTTTATTTATCCCAACACTTCTCTCTTTCTCCTACCTCTCTCTCTTGATCTCTTTTATTTCTCTTCTCTCTCCATTTTCCTCCTCTCTTCCTCTACCCACTCTCTCTCTCTTCTCAACCCCCTCTCTCTCTCCTCTACTTCTCTTCTCTGCCTCTTTCAACCTATCTCCCTGTCATTCTCTCTCTTCCTCCTCTTCCTCAACCCGCTCTCTCTCCTCTCCTTTTTTCAACTCCCTCTCTCCCTGTATCTCTCATCTATTTTCCCTCTATCGCTGTCTCCTTTTTTTTAAAATCAAACCCAACACTTCTTCTCTCTTTCTCCTACCTCTCTCTCAGCCCTCTCCCACTCTTGATCTCTTTTATTTCTCTTCTCTCTCTTTTCCTCCTCTCTCCTCTCTTCTTCTACCCACTCTCTCTCTCTCTCTCAACCCTCCTCTCTTCTACCTCTCTTTTATACCCCCTCTCCCTGTCTTTCTTTCTCTCCTACCACTTCCCCCCCTCTCTTTCTTTCTACACCTTTCGACTCCCCTCTCGTCTTCCCCCTCTCTCCCTGTATCTCTCATCTCTTTCGCTCTATCCCTGTCTTTTATTTTTCTTCTCTCTCCTTCTCTCCTCTCCATCATCTCTCTCTTCCTCAACCCACTCTCTCTCTCCTCTCACCTCCCTCTCTCTCCTCTACCTCTTTCACCTCCTCCCCTCTCCCCATCTTTCCTTCTACCACCCCCCCCTACCCTTTTCAACTCCCCTCCTTTCTTCTCCCTCTCTCTCTGTATCCCCCCTTCCCTCCTCTCTCTCTTAACCCTTAAGATTTAAGCCTCTTCCCTGCACCACTTTAGCCCCAAACATGTTTTATCTTTTCTTATAAATCCCGTGTGCGATAAACCCACAGAAGATAAGAAACTGTTCCACATTTCCACTCCGGTCTGCGCGCTCTTGGATTAGTCACTTGGCCTTTAGCGTGCTGTGTTCGAGGAGGATGCGCTGACGTGGACTTTTTCTCTTTTTTCTTTCTTTCTTTTTTGTAGTGTCTGGTTTCTGTCGATCCTCCGTTCACATGCCCAAACAGTGACATCACCCTGACCTCACTGAGGGGTCCACAATGAGGGCCCCCCCAAAAAACTGCAGGGCCCCACTGGAGCCTGTTATAATGAAGATACCAGTCCTCTCCTGCACGCTAATGTGCTGGGAAAACTCCAGAAGACAGTTTCACTACTGGTAGTTTGGGGATTTAAATGGACAGTTCGGAATTTTGGACATAAGGCCTCATTTCCTAGTGAGCCAGAGATACTTTTTGAAATATTCCATCCAGTCCTTGAGATCAGATATGTATCGGTTTTAGGAGCACATATCCAAGTGGCCTGGGTCGCATTTTAAAAAATTGGATCTGTGTGTATATGATCTTTTAATGCTCCTAAAACCGATACATATCTGATCTTTTGACATGTGACTTCAGTCTGAACGGCCAAGATGCATTCATCCACCTACACGTTATCAACAAGCCACAAATGTACTCAAATGTTCTTCTCGTCATACGAAAATTGTTAATGAACGTCTCCACATCCACACGTTCCTTTCAATGAACTGCCCCACAAAACCTCATCCTTCTCCTTCTCAATCTCGTCCTTAAAACAAGTAAGTTGTTCATGTTCTGGCTCCGGTATGAGAGGAACTTTAAAATCGCCAGGTGCTCAATGCTGCGTCCATGTTTGGACAACTTCCGCTCGCTGTGGTTGACATTGTGGTGTCCTCCAGTGCGCATGTGAGACACTTTTGGGCCGTTTACTGTTCACACTGGAGATCACATACAAGTCAAATTTAATTGGAAATGTGAACGACCTCGCAAAAACATCGGATTTCACAAAAAAATCCAAAATTGAGCATTAAGCCCTGCAGTCTGAATATAGTCTAATAGGTTGTTTACCTGCAGCTGCCATAGCGACACATAGAGCACACGAAGAATCCTGTTCCAGATATGGCCATGTTCATATCGTCACAATTAACTAAAGCAGAGTAAAATTCCGCTGCTGCTGCTGAGAAGATAGTCCCTTAATGTGAGAATAAAATGTATATATATGCTATTAATGTTATCAAAGCTGAAACAAATGTTATGCTCAACAGTGTTATTCTTAGGAGCTTCTGCTGTAAAACAGGAACTGCCTAAATGTTGATGTGTGATTCAGTGAGAGTGGAGGGGGGCTAGTGGCTGGTGTCTGAAGGGACAGTTGTGGTTAAACATGTGGTATCTTGTGGAGGAGAGTGCAAATGTCTACTGCGAGAATTGGATAAAGGTAACACTGTACAAATGTTAGACAGAGCATACGCTCTTGACCTATACGATTGTGCATATCATGTGACTGTGGGTGTGATAAATGAATAAAAAGCTATATTTGTGTGATGTAGTAATATTGGGAAACTCTCTGACTCAATAAAATGTTGTTTATTTATTATTATTATCTTTTTTTTTTTCCAGAATAAAATTGGGTTTAAAAATGAAAGTCGTCATAAACTGTGTAGAATTTATTCCAAGTGTTTTGAATTCATGAGTTGGGGTGTGTGACGTGTGTGGGGAATGCTATCATGAGGAGATTTGATGTGTCCAGTACTCTTCTGACAATTTATGGAAAGAATTGATATCTTTAAAGGTGCACTATCCTACTACACTACCTGCTTGGAGACAGGCAAATGATGCCACCAGACCATAGTACTCACCTGATCTGTGCCAGTCATTTGTGGTTTCAGAGCTTACCTGATCTGAACTGGACGTTCTTGTTTTTTGAATTAATTACATGTTTTGCTGTAGTTGATGTGTTAACCCAGACCTGAGCAACGTCCAGCTTCAGGTCACATACGGTCCAGTCCATGTGCCATTTGTTTTTCAATATAAAACAAAAAATAAGAAAATGAAAAAAACAACAACTGTTTTCTTCATTATTTGTCTCCAAAACCAAAATGAAAAAAACGGATAACAATTAATTTTTCAGTTTTCGATTTTGTGTTTAAATGAATAATGGAAAAAATGGATAATGACAGTTTCCTGTTTCCATGACTTAAACTGTGATGCCGGACTTTAGCGCCACATACAGACTGAACCAGACAGGAACCAGACTGGGACGGCATCCAGGACTTAGACCGGGACCAGACCAGAAATGAGACCAGAACTGAGACCAAAACTGAGACCAAGACTGAGACCCGGGAACAGGACCAGGACTGAGACTAGGACTGAGACCAGGACTGAGACTGGGACCAGACCAGGACCAGACCAGGACCAGACCAGGACTGAAAAAGATTTAGTCCTGGCTCATTCAGTTTTGTGGCGCAAAAGTCCGGCATCACAGATTAAGTCTCGGAAAAGAAAAAAGGCCATTATCCACTTCTTCATTCCTTTACACAAAATCAAAACTGAAAAAACGAATCATTATCTGTTTTTTCATTTTGGTTTTGAAGACAAATAATGAAGAAAATAGTTGTTTTTATCATTTTCTTATTTTTGGTTTTTATATTGAAAAATGAATGAACGAATGATACACGGATTTAGCCCTTTGGTTGACTCTGACTGGCGCGTTTAAGCTCATTTGGAATTACAAAATAAACTAATTTTATCATTTGATCTCATGCATGTCATCCCTGGTTTGGGTGTTAATTTGATCTGTAAAGCGTACAGTTCCTGGTTGTAACTCTTACCTGATCTGTAGCGGTCGTCCCTGGTGCCTCCATTGCGGTGCGACCTCTTGGAGCGCCTCTCTCTGTACCGCGACGCATTCGACGATTGAGGGGCGTGGCCTGAGGAGGAGGGCGGGGCAGCAGGTTGGACATCATTCTTAGGAGGAGGCTCCACTGGAAAAAAAACAAAAAACACTGAATTATGATGTGATATGTTAATGTGAATCAATAATGTTGCTTCGTAAGTGATTTAAGAATATTATTGAGTAAGTTTTGATGATGAACCAGTGAACAGCTTTAATTCAGTATTTTGTTTTTACACAACATTTTCACACCATTGGTAACAACAACTAGCATGCTAACAGTACACCACTGTTACTTCCTGGTTCGCAGATTATAATCTTTTCAGAGGCCATTATTGTTCAAAGTGATGGACAGCTCAACAATATAAAGATGTTTTCAGTAAAATTTAAATGTACAACATAAGATTTGTGCGACATATTTTTGTTACTTGTTTATTTCTTACCTGGAGGCGCCTGGATGATGAACGGAGCCAGAAGTTTAGTCTTTTTCTTCTCATAGCCCTTTTGTGTGATGTCCCCTGTGAACGAAAACACACAACTCGTTAGAAAATTCTATTCATAATAGTAATAAATTCAAATAAACATCAATTACATAAGGATTACACAAGATGCAAAAGGAGTAGGTAGAGGTACAAATACTTAGAGTGTTTGAGAGAAGAACTCAGCCTAAATATGCAGGGTTTGTGTGTTAAACATGTGAATAAAAAAAACACAACTCCAGGCCTGTTTGTGATGAGGAAATAACATTAGAACATAAATCAGAAACTACAGTAATATTGGTAGTAGATATCTTTATATTTTTTTAATTTCAGTATCATTCCCAGAATATTATCAGCTCAAACAATTGCAGTTGCATTTAAAACAGTACATTAAGAGGAGAGAGTTTGAAAATTGGAAATTCATGCGAGAAGACACAATATTTCCCCCATTATTTCTTGTCCTTAACCACAGATTGTAAAAATGGACAGTTTTGGCTGCAATTTGGCTCCACCGACTCAACTTTCTATTGTAAGTGTTTTACATCAGATAAATCAGGATGTGCACGTAAAACATTGCTCTGGTTTCTGAAAGTTGTGAAAGCGCTCATAAACTCGTTTATTTATTTATCTATTTATTTATTTGAGACAGCGACAGCATGCAATTTTTACATTAACCTTTTTTACAGAGAGAGATGCATTGTACATCAGGTTGTAGCATCAGTGCTAATTTCCACCTGTCGTCCCAGGGCAGATTCATTGATTGATTGTATTTAACTGACCTTAACTATCAACTGTTCTTGGAGACATGTAGCATGTTTTGGGTTCTAGGTCACGGTAAGTAAATGGGATGCTCTGAATGCATACAGTAAGTGAGGGAGAACTTTGGATGGAAACCTGCTGGAAAGTCCTCTTGAATTGTAACCTTTATAAAAGTTAGTTCATCTATATACATATCGATTTAAAAAAAAAAAATCATTAAATACATTGTATTAATTACATTATAATTAAGAATTGCCAGTACTCTCCTCCATCTATCTGCAGAACTTGGGCAGTGGTTCTTAAGATGATAAAATGCTGGTTCTATGTGGTCAGATGGCAGGTTGGGCAGAGCCATCCCTTGTCTCAGAAAATTCATCACAGGTAACTATTTCAGGATTTGATCTTACATATTTCAGTTCCTTCCTAAAAGTGATTCTGAATGATTTTTTTTTACAAATTATTAATGATAATAATAATGCATCACTTTTATAGAGCGTTTTTTGGACACTCAAAGACACTTTACAGTTCATTATTCATTCACTCCAGACCTGGTGGTGGTAAGTTACTATTGTAGCCACAGTTGCCCTGGGGCAGACTGACAGAAGCGAGGCTGCCAATCTGCACCATCGGCCCCTCTGACCACCACCATCACTCACACACACCACTTTCATACTAGGCAATGTGGGTGAAGTGTCTTGCCTAAAGACACAACAAATGTTTTGTGACTGGCGCCCCCCTGTAGCTTTCTAAGTTTCTTGTGTTGTGCGGTTTACAAATGATGTTCATGTCAGCAGATAAGCAGATCCCAAATCAGCAGTTACAGATGTTATAGGAAATGAGGAACAACAACAACAAAAACAAACATTTAAAACGATTTCATAGTAAACTTCTGCGAGGAAATGAGGATTATATTGATATTACATAATGAAAAAATGTGGGCTGCTTCGGTAAGATCAGTAAAATGACATAAACAAGGCCCCACATTTGGTCTGGTACATTCACATTTCATTTTATTATGATATAGAAGCTGATTTTCTAACTCGATACATCACAGTGACACGAATGACTAAAGGCCGGCGAGAACATCCCCCTCTCCTGGGCAGGAGACAGCAGGTACAGTACCCGCGTGCCGCCCACTGCAAACTGTTTAAAAAGAACCAGTTCTGTTTTTTCACGTTTTCGAGAGCATTTGAACAAATATAACAGCTTGAATGTTTGTCACTTTCTTTCATAAATTTGCTCAAAACCACAAAATGGCAGCTAATGTTTACAATCTGCTGGTGGGAACAAAACAGCAGATGGGAGCCCACGTTGGTGCGGCGAGGAGTCATTCTTCGTAAGAGAAAAACAAAACTGTTCTAAAAAAGAGGAGAGGAGGAGGGGAGGAGGAGGAGAGTGGGCGGAAGATGAATCAGTGACATACAGAGAGTAAATGAGCAGTTATCACAAAACTAAAAATGTAACATGTCCACAGTATAAGATGATGAATGATGAGAAAGAGAGAGACAGAAGGAGAGAGGAGGATAGAAAGAAGAGAGGGAGATGATAGGAGAGATAGAAGAGACAAAGGGGGAAAGAAGGGAGAGGAGGAGAGGGGGAGCAGGGGATGGAAAAAGACAAGTGATGGAGTGAGGAAAGAGATGAGAGAGAAAGAGAGAAGAGGAGAAAGAGGAAAGAGTGAAAGAAAGACAGATGGGAGAGAGATGAGAGAGAAAGAGGAGAGAAGAGGAGAAAGAAAGAAAGAAAGAAAGAGAGAAGGGAGAGAGATGAAAGAGAAAGCGATGGAGGAGAGTGAGAGATGTGCGAGAGAGGGAAAGAGGGGAAAAAGAAGAGAAAGAGAGAGATGGAGGAGGGAGAGATAAGCAAGAGAGAGAGAAAGTGAAGCGAGAGAGGTAGGAGAGAAGAAGAGAGGGAGGAGAGAGAGATGAGCAAGAGGAGAGAAACAGAAAGAGAGAGGACAGAAAGATGAGCAAGAGAGAGAAAGAGGAGAGAGAAAGAGAGGGAGGGAGGAGGGAGAAAGATGAGCAAGAGAGAAAGGAGAGAGGAAGAGAGGTAAGAGGGAGAGAGTTGAAAGAGAAGAGAGATGTGAGAGAGAGAGAGAGAGAAAAAGAAAGGGAGAAGGGAGAGATGAGAGAAAGAGGAGAGAGAAATAGAGGGAAGAGAGGGGTCAGGAGCAGAGGAAAAGAAGGACAGAGAGTGAAAAAGGAGCGAGCGAGAGAAATAGAAAAAGAGGAGAGGAGGTGACAGGAGCTGGTCCCTGCGCCCCCTGCCTTCAGTCCATCTGTGCCCAGCAGAGCCTCCCCCTCACTGTCCACTGTCCACTGTCCACACAATATGACACAAGCAGCAACATTTGACTGTTCTGGAGCTCACACTGCTGACACAAGAACACACACATCACACACAAGTCACTTTTTATTCACTGCTGACTAAAATACACTAGTAAAAACACATCCAAGTCCATTTCAATACAAAAAAATTAAACACAAATCACCACAATGAGTTTATAAGCACTATTCTCAACATTCAGAGACCACAGTAGAGTACTATCACATGACTGTTAACAGCAACTAGCATGCTAACCACACACCAGTGCTACTGCCTTGTTTGTGGGCGATAAAAATGTGTAATAATTAAGACACAGACAGTACACAGAGGTCTTAGTTTGATCCTAAAGGCCGCCACACACTACAGGAGTTTTCGGTCTGAAACGATTTTCAAAAGCGCGACAAAAAGCACACACCACAGACACAAGGAGAATCTTATGAGACTTAAAATCTCCGATCACAAAGACTGCAGTGGGATCTGTCTGTGGACCACAGGATATAAAGTTGTGAGTGCACCTCGCGTCAGCTTTTTCCTGTCTACTGTAAAACCAGTCGCTTTGAGACTCTTAAGTGTTCAAAAGATCAGACTCTGCACTTCTAGTTTAGATACAAGTCAAAACAGTGTTATTATTATTTGTGAAATGTTGTGCAAAACTTCAGATACATGATTTTAAAAGCATGAAAGATTGGAGATAAAGTTCACAGGAAGTAGAGTCACTGTCACTAATCTGCAGCTTCACCTCGATCTGTGTGGATGTAAACAGACACACGTGAGAAACTACTCTCACCTTTTTACTTTTAAAAACACCTCAAACTGGATTAATAGTGCAGTTTTGTGGACTGAGGGTCATTATTTGAGGAAGACAGTTTCTATGGATAATGTGGATGTGATTCTGTAGGTTAAATTTACAACTTTATGAGAGGTGAGGAATAAAGTCTTCTCATTATTTTCGCTATAGATCCAGAGTTTTTTATCTTGCTTTTCTGAATCCGTCACTCCTCTGCCTCTAATGCTCTATTATGCTCTAATGTTTTATTGGCTATTGATGTTTGGTGGTCAGAGTCACACTGACAGTACACACACACACACACACACACAAGGAGCGCTAACAAAGACACAAAGTCGGATCAGAACTTGCAGCCAGTAAATTCTCCTGGAGTGTGAGGCGGCCTTGCTTTGATGATGTATCTGTACTTGGGCAAGACACATTTTACTTTGTGACATGAAAAAGTAGCAGAGGTGTCAAGTATAATATATGACAAATTATAAATTTTTTCATACATTTTTTCCTTAATTTTATTCATTTTTCATACTTGGGCCGTAAAATGGCAATGGCAGAACTGTGCTGAAACCATAGACTGTATAAAAGATGTGGACTAAGTGAGTGTAACATCACCCATAGTGTTCAGCTCCAGTCAAATGAAGCTCATCTAAGCTTGAATTTGGAGCCAGTTCCATATTTGGAATTCCGACCGTGAGTATCATAGCATCCAAAGAGCCAACCCAGAGCGAGGATGTTGATACCTTTAACTCCCCTTCCTATTCACACTGCAGGATTTAGCATGGAGCAAGCGCCTAGTAACGTTGTCAATCAAACCTGTTGTGACCTCAGGGGAAGAAGGCCCCCGATTTACCTGTTTTGTTAAAGTTCATATCTTGATTTACAGACAAAATAGTGAATCAAGTAGACAGGGTTAATATGAACATTTTAAGACCAAAATAAAGAGCCTGACAGCAGCAGTTACAGAGAGAGAGAGGAGATGTTTTATCAATAGAAAGAAAACTGGAGCCAGAGTTGATGGAGCTGGAAGTGTGCCCATGCTCTCTTCCTATTTGGGGTGCAGTGGTTAGCAGGTTATGTCCACTTAAACAATCTATGGCTTAAACATGCTTGTAAATGTGTTGGTTGAGGTTCAGGTATCCCATAAAACGTGAACTGACCGTACTATTAACAACAAAAGAGAAGAAACATCACCAAATAAGCTGGACTAAAGTTACTTTGCATGTTTCTGTTCTTATTTCTATTTTCATTCTATTAGAAAAGGCTTTACTTGGATAATCCTGCTTTAGGGTTATCGTGTCAGTGGTGCGGATTGGACAAGATCTCGTGCCACAAGATCTCATGAGACAGAATTACCGCAACTGTGCACACAAGAGAAAAGTGATCTCATGAGATTTGGATTGGACAGAAAAGGGTTAAGCATTGCACCTCCTTGAGAAGCTGTAGTTCCAAAACACTGTGCTATAACGACGAGCCCGACCGATATATCGGTTGGCCGATATTATCGGCTGATATGGGCAACTTTAGGCATATCGGCTATCTGTTCATTTAATCCAATTTACAGACAGATAAATGTCCTAATATGTGGCTCCACATATATTATTTATCTACGGAGTCATTTGTCTGTGTGTGTGTCTGTACTGTCCCTGAACACACCACAGAGTCGCGTCACTCACGTGTGTTTGTTTACACCTGCAGACACAGATCCAAACACTGAGATTATATTCTTTTTACGGACAATCGGTTTGAGTCTGGATTAAAAGGACATTTACTAGTGCAGATTTTGTGATGTGAGGAGGAGCCTGTGTGAGCGGTGAGTGTTGGAAATATGTCGACTCTGAAGCTAGTTTTTGTCATTTGTTATGGGTTAGCTGCTGTAGCTCCTGCACATAAACAGACTGTTTTCTATTGGTCTATTGTAAAGTGACTATATTGGCCGTATATTTGTTACTGGACCTGCACTGATATGTAAATGAGCTGTGAATATTGGTGTGAATTATGACATTTGCGCATATAATTAATTACCGCGGCGCGCACGTATTTACGGCTAAAGGCTAATAGCGCTACTTTCTTTACTAGTTATGGGTCCGTCGCGAACGAAATGACTCTTAGAATCGGCTCTTTGAAGGGAACGACGGGAGCCTGATCCTTATTGGGAGCCGTGTTTTCTCTTTCTCTCACTTTTTTTCTCTTCACGCCGCGTGCAGACTCGTGGTTTGACAGCGGCAGCGGCTAAAAACGAAACTTTGAGAAATTTGCGTGTACGTAGGATTAAAAAAAATAAAAATAAAAAAACGAGCATATTTGACTGTAGTTTAGCATAAAATAAATAAGTCCCGGTTTAGTCCTTTTTCAGTCCTGGTTTAGACCTGGTTCAGTCCTGATTCAGTCCTGCTTTAGACCTGCTTGCAACAAAACAATCTGAAGAGCCACTTGGGAGCCAAAATGAACCAGCAGCTTTTAGTGAGCCGAGCCAAAAGAGCCGGTTCTCTAAAAAGAACTGGAATACCCATCACTAGTGTCTAGGATGTGATGTGATGCAAAAATGCCATTAAGCCAACCTACTGTCTGTAAATATGATGTAAAGAGGCAGAATAACAATAAATGTTGCCTAAATAAACCCAATTTTAAATCCACCAGAGCCAAATCTAAGTTTTTTAAAACAATTGAACATTTACAGTGAATTTTTACATCACAAAAATATATCGGCGATTATATCGGTTATCGGCAGCCGCCAACGGCATTATATCGGTTTCATATCGGCCACAGCAAAATCCATATCGGTCGGGCTCTAATAACGACACAAAAACATGAAAAGTCCTGTGCAGATCTTGTGAGATTTAAGCCATGTTATAATGTCATCATTTCATCAAAACAGACCCAGAGTGTTTTGTTTCATTCACACATGTTTGAGTAACACTTTATTATTAGTCTGTCTACATCTTCAGAGCTCAAAACATTCTGTTCCACCTTGTGATGTCATGAACTCGAAATAACTCAGACGAGACCAAGCAAGGATTCCGAGATAGAATCCAAGATGGCTGTGCCCAGTGTCACTTTTAAGTATGAACTGTTTTCATTGTATTTGGAGCTTTGGTGGTTTAAATAACAATTTCAGTCACTCATATTAATTGC